TTAACGATTATCGCGCACTATGATCTATATCCATAGTCAGGGGCGGTGGGATAGCCTAGTGGTTAAAGCGTTGGCTCGACACGCCGAAGACCCGGGTTCGATTCCCCACATGGGCACAATGTGTGAAGCCCATTTCTGGTGTCCCCCACCGTGATATTGCTGGAATATTGCTAAAATCGGCGTAAAACTAAACTCAGTCATTCAGTCAGTATATCCATAGTCAGCCCTAATTACATAATATACATCTTAATATTCAGGTATACAACACGCATCAACAAATTCACCCATTAGTGAGTACAGATCTATATCAGAGTACAATACTCAATTGTAAAAGAGGCGGTGGGTAGTTTATTGGTTAAAGCGTTCACACGTCACGTCGAAGACCCGGGTTCGATTCACCACATGGTTACAATGTGTGAAATCCATTTCTGGTGTAGCCCGTCGTGATATTGCTGGATTATTGATAAAAGCGGCGTAAAACTAACTCACTCACTCAATTGTAAAAAACGATGGTGAGAAGCCTATGCGTTACCTCGATATAACGCTATGAAGCTGAAAACAAACACAGGGCGATGTGCCGGCACCAATAATACGTTGATATTCCCACACCAGAATAGCAAAAATATATGTTTAACGTTTAATGCCCCAGACTATATGTTACCTCGATATAACGCTATGAATCTGGACACAAACTCAGAGAGGTGCCAGCACTAATACATTATTATCCCCACACCCAAATAAATGTTGTACGTTTGATATCTCAGACTGTATGTTCCCTCGATATAACGTTATGAATCTTGCGTGAGTGAGTGAGTGAGTTAAATTTTGTTCTACGCCACACTCGGCAATATTACAGCTACATGGCGGTGGTCTGTAAATAATCGAGTCTGGACCAAACAATCTAGTCATTAACATCATGAGCATCGATACATTGGGACACGATGACATGTGTCAAACCACTAAGGAAAGTTATGTCCATTATTCTTGGAAGTGTTTTATTAACATAACTGAATAACTGCCCTAGGCAATTATTTCTATTTAAAAGCAATACAATTGTACTTATTTGGATGATCTTCATCATGCCTAATACATTACACGCATATTAAATAAGTATGCCATCGTGGTGTATGCCGTAAGCCGTTTAATCACCCTCACTACAGTTTATTAAATAACTACCTTGTAAGGGTGATTAACCTATACACAACCAAGTCAGCGAGCCTGACCGTCCGATCCCGTTAGTCGCCAGCCAATACAGCAGAATAGCAAAATATGTTTCACGTTTGATATAGTTACTAGCTGTATCGTGTCATGTGACAATTCTACACGTTTTCTTCAAGATAACTATAATCTGTGAAACAGATTACACAGGTTCCGGGTCGTTTCACTCCAAGTAGTAGTTTCACCCGGGTCGTTCCACCCCGGGTTGTTTCATCCCAATTCCAAACTAGTTCAATTCATCCCATATTAGGGGTTATTTCACCCCTAATCAAGAGTTGTTTCACACAACAAATTCAGTATACACGGAGAATGGCATTAATGCTTAAATCTGTTACTCCTAATTAAGCATTGTTTTACAAAAACCAGGTAAGTGCTACTGTGTCTGTGTCGAGATGCCACATAGGGCTTAAGCTTACATCACATCTAATCTCATCTCATTAAAACCTAAATGAACATTTAAATAAGTCAAACCCAAGGTTCAGAATAGTCTTCTATCAAGAGACAACAGGCAGAAATTCGAAAAGATGCACGAGAAGCTTCTTCACCTTCCGGACACGGTACACAGACAAGGAAGTCTCCACAAGTTCATCCCTGTCCCAGGCAGCTACTTGCTATCGTCACTGAAGGACTTCACCCGATCCAACACAGCCAATATGAACTGATACATTTATGTGATAAGATAACACCTCACTGAACTCAAATTACCAAATCAATAAACGTACTCACCCCTAAATTCGTTTGGTTTCGAATCCATAGGCGGATCCAGACGGGGGCGGGGGGTGCAGGGTGCATGCGCATCTCCCCTCCCCCACCCCTTGTCCTGAAAGTTTATTAAATGACCATTGAAACTCACGTGAAAAAGAAGTGTGCACACACAACACACACCACACACACACCCCTTTCTCAATAGTGTGCACCCCTCCTTTCTCAAAAAAGCTGTATCCGCCCCTGGAATCATATCATATATATAGTAACTTGAGCCACGAGAAAGAAACTGCAGAGGTGGTTTGATGGCATATGTTTGTGAAACAACGAACACGGGAACGGAAGATCGGAATATTGTAAGATCTCAAATTGGAGGACATACGGTAACTGTCATCTGTTGCATAAACAGTAGGTGTTTTCGTCTATTAGTCGTATCCTGACGCTAGTGTTGACAGTTATTACGCAGTCTAATAGGTCATATTGCCCACTGGTGCATAGGTTGTTGAATGGTGTATGTTTTGGGGTATAAGTATTCTTTTAGATGCATAAATGCAGAGTTGAAATGCACAGCTAGCATGTACTTAAAGGGCCACTGATCCAGAGCGATTATTGTTTCCAGCCAACAGTCTAATTACGAAACATAGCTACAAACTGGTCAGCCCCTGCTCCCTCGACCATGACGGACACGGGGACTGGGCTACTGTCCACTTTGGTAGAATTTCTTCAACCTAATCAGGGGGACATAAGGAAGGGTGGATGCCCATCAGATGCCGTTATTTGAAAATATCCCCGGTAGTTCTTGTCTGATTGTAATAAAGTGTCTCAGCAGTGTAGGCTTTTTTTCAGATTATCAAATGTTTGGATGGTATAGTGACTGATCCAATTTGATCCTATTTCTGTGTTTTTTACCTCAATATTTAATCATGTAAAAATATGGTGTCTATTACGTATGCTATGATATCAAAACACACATTTGATATATTTGAATCCATTAACTAAACAACCCCACTTTGCCATTGCAAAATAAATCTGAAATTTTACTTAGGTACATAGGTATATACAGTTTTTAACTAAGTACACAGCAAATGCTTATATATATTTCTTATGTAACAATGAAGTTCCGTTCGTATCCTCAAACCAGTGTCGGTCCATAAGTTTTTTTTTCAGACAATCAAACTTGCATGCAATACAGCGATTACTACTTTCTTGCTGTAACCCTTGTTTGGTGGTAAACCTATACACATGTTATTAATTGTCATCATTCACTTGATAGTTTCTGTTCTCAGGTATGAAATAAAAACATAGATATATTTAAAGAGAAAACAACACGTAAACAATTAGATCTGAAATAATGATCATGATTTTTCACTTCGCATTATTTTCCGTCTGTGGGTGTGGAGTGTTTGTCCGTACAGACAACATAGGTGTTGTGAGGTACAATCGAGCGGAACAGACATCGACTTTGAAGCCACTCACCTGAATGGGAACCCATTTAGCCAATCAAATCGTGTCCTAGAAGAGGTTAAGGTTCACGCAAAGGTCAATGTCGTCGCTTGGCTGTTTTGATGTGTTTTCGCGAATGGTTCTAATGCCGGGAACATTGTACACCCTTTACGTGTTGAGCAATAATTATATTTTGCTTTCATATTTATAAGAACAGAATTCATTTTTTACTTTAAGGTATCAAGGCAAAATCGTTGGACACTTTGCGGAAAGTCAATTAATTTTTGTTTGTTATACGAAGAGAATCGTCGAAAATATAACTGTGTGAATGTTTGCGCAACCGCAGTACGGCGTTATGCCGCTTCATATAATAGGTGATGTTCATGAGATTTTTTTTTATATCAGTTGTTCTGAATACACTATAAAATATATTGTTTCTTTCACTTAAATTCCTAATTATTGCTCCAATTTCCAGGTCATGATTTCCCAAGGGCGTTTGTGATTGCTTTAATTATCCAAAACCACTGCACCTTCGATGCTGAAAAGTGGCCTCATATTATTGATGACAAGATTTTCAATATGAACACCACGGCAGCCATATTGAAAGAGTACACAATTTCATCAAAATATAATCTTAGTTCTCGATACCACAAAATGAAGTAATGTCTGATTCAGACCTGATGTCCAAAGGAATATTTACTGCTGGGATACAATACAACCGTAATAACTTTTGCATATACGGGTGACCCGTATACCCGGGATTGGTGGGTAAAGAGTTGGACCCGTGTATCTGTCTCAATACCCGCACCCTTATGATCATGTGACTAATAGATTAAACAATGTAATATGTTTATGATTAAATATGTAATATGTGACTAATGTAATATGACTAAAAGGATGTATTATCTTTAAACATTTAGACATAATTTACAATCGCCTGTTTTGAATAATTATAATTCATGGTTAAGATACTGAAAAATTCGAAATTTAGCCTCAGAGCTGAAAGATATATTGTCATTTCTTGCAAATTTGATGTCAGGAATTAACATAACGGGTATCAGGGTAGGGTAGGTTTATAGGGGGTGGGGTACCCGGGTAGAAAATTTGGACCCGTCCCAGCCCAAAACAATACCCTCCTCATACGCAGGATACTGACTTCGGACCGTCCAGTGGTTGCATTACCTCTCTAGGGGGTGGGGGTAGGGGTGGGGTGTTAGCCTAGTGGTGAAAGCGTTGAATATACTCCAAAAAAGCGAGGTCCTGATATAACAGTAAAACTACACTCAAAAACGCCCAGTTCCTCATAATAGAAAAGTTGGCATCCATAACTCTTTCCCTTTTTGTGTATCACTTCTAATGCCATTTATTAATAATTTATAATATTGCCTTGAAAACGCTAAAATGAACTGAACTCTATTTTGTACGCATAAAACAATCCAATACTTTTATGATTAAAGATAAATAGATAATTTCCTCATCGATTTGCATCCTTTGTTGCACTATTATCATAGAAAATGTATCATTCCTTGACGATAACGAGCTAGGTTCCATAAATCGACCGACTCATGTTTTTCAGCAATAACAGTGTTCTCGGAAATAACGCGTAGCGGTGAAACGCATCCCGGGCGTGTCTCTTCCGGTGGCTTTTTAAGACAAGCCATAAGGCCTCTAAGCTCAGAAGCGAAACACGGACAATCGAGAAAATGGCGGCTGTAGTAACGCAACCAACTGACGGAAAGGGAGCTCCAATGCAGATGATCGCACAGCCCCCTCCGACGGTAGTGATGGCGCAGGGTTTACCCCCTGGCCTGGCATATCTTGGTGGTTTGCCTGAAATTAAGGTTCACCAAATATTTGACATGCTTGAAGGTACGTAGGTTGACAAAAGTCGTTTGGTTGGTTTCTCGAAATGTGAGAAGGGTTTTTTTTTCACGAGATGACAGCTTTGTTTACGGTTTGATTACGTATCAGAAAGATGTATCTAATCGTATTTACGATGTGTCGACGTTGGAAAATGATTTCGAGGCCTGAACTATTGTCTTTTTACCTTGGATTTTACCAAGTGTGCGTGTGTAAATATGTACCGTAGTTTCTCTCATAGTTGTTTTGGTTCAAATTGGTAAAATCTACAGAAAGTGTTCCTCCCATTCAGCAGTGGGAGGACAGAGAGCTCTATTAAGAAGGGTCACAATAATGTAATTTAAGACAAATTTAAATCCAAACCAACAAGGTCGGGAAATAGCAGTTGAGCAGCTCTCGGATGATTAGTGGACAAATTGTGACAATACATAATTACCGTATTAGTTATGCCTTTGTTGCAACATACACTTTGAAGTAATTCTTATTTATATGTGCCAAGCAACACCGTTGCTAGGGTCATTATTATGTAAACTCAACCCCACAGCAGTAATTATTAAAGCAGATCAGTGCTCCAGATAAGGGCCATATCAGCGAATGTACGGATACAAAATATGCACGATACGATAGGAAATAATTTAAAATACGTAACAGATATGCATCACAGCAATGGTGTATGGTCTTAAAATCATGTACAGGTCTATTTATCTGAAATAAGTATTGTTTTATTGTTTATTGACCTGTTTACACAGGAGTAGCAATGTTGTGGTGCATACTGAAACGAAACACAAGATTACTGATGCGCCATTAAATTCCATTCAGTACTCTAAATGTACTCTTAAGTTTTTCCAGTACTCCTGTATTGACAAAATAAGGACTACGTACTCCTGATGTTGAAACATTATCTGGAGCCCTGGCAGATTGTTTTAGGTGTTTTCACATGCATGTACATGCCCCTTCAGTCCAGAAATCCATCCATCTGTGTATGTATATGTATAAACGGTTGTGTCCCACACACATTGTAAATTCGCAAATGATTGCTTGTGTTTAAGAAAATACTGTCTTTATCATATTTTACAATGTTTATGATTGAGTCCAAAACATATAAATATAACATTGAAGGATCTGTTGAACAAGTGACTTGTATGTAATTGAAATGTAGATACATCTAACAGTGTATTGTTGAGATATGCCAATCAGTGGCAGGGCTCCAGATAAGGGTCGTATCGGCGTATGTACAGATCAAAAATATGCAAGATACGGTAGGAAATAGTTTAGAAAGCGTAGTAGATACGCACCACAGCAATGGTGTACGGTCTTAGAATCATTTCCAGATGTAAAAGTATTGTTTTATTGTTTATTGACCTGTTTACACAAGAGTAGCAATGTTGTGGTGCATATATGAAATGAAACACATGATTACTGATACGCCATTAATTTCCATTCAGTACTCTAAATGTACTCTTAAGGTTTTCCAGTACTCTTATATTGAATAAATAAGGAGTACGTACTCCTGATCATGAAAAATTATCTGGAGCCCTGGGTGGTTATGTAGAAGTCTCTCATACAGACCCTGAAACAGATATTTCCAATACAGATCATGCAAGTCTAAGTTACTGCAGTTTCTGAAAATGAAGACTTGTCGGAGTTGGTGTCCATTATATTTTAATATGACAATACAAAAACTGTTTTTTGTGTAAAATTTGTTCATATCCGAGACTAAATGTCTGTTTAGTTATGTAGAGAATATACTGGTGGTAGTACTACTGGTCTCTAGGGCTGCAACGATTCAGTTCGATTCATCGAAAATCGAATCTGACACCTTAGTTTCGGTTTTCGATAACCATTCAATTGTCACTTTTTCGTTTCATATTTGAATACCTATTTAAATTATTTCCACACCCAGAATGTAATTTGGACTTGAACTCGAGCAGTTTTGAGCGCTAAAATAAGAAGAAACGTGAATGGTTGACGCCAGGCTAATTATCCAATGAGAATTGTTGTTAGTAGACATCGTCAAGATGGGGATGGATTTTGTGCTAGAAAAGCCGACTCGGAGGTTAAGTGACATCTGATGTTTTTACTTGTATGAAGAATCGAATCGAGGGACCAATATCGAAAACCGAATAGAATTGAGGTCTGGGTGATTCGTTGCAGCCCTGACCCGTGAAGATCCGGGGTAGAATAAGTCTTCAGCAACCCGTGCTTGCCACAAAAGGCGACTATGCTTGTCGTAAGAGGCGACTACCAGGATCGGGTGGTCAGGCTCGCTAACTTGGTTGACACATGTCATCAGTTCCCACTTGCACAGATCGATGCTCATGCCGTTGATCACTGGATTGTCTGGTCCAGAGTCGTATATTTACAGGCCGCCGCCATATAGCTGGAATATTGCTGAGTGCGGCGTAAAACTAAACTCACTCGTTGCAGCCCTACTGGTTTCTTGATCTTCTTCTGCCTCGAAATCTTCCTGACAGTAGGTCTGGCTAAAAAGATAGATAACTGGAAACAGCATTGATGGGAATCATTATTAATGTTTATCGATATGAAAATTATTCAATTGATGATATAGTAAATGAACAATTGGGATGAATTAATTTACAAATTTACTCAGAAAATACACAAAGTTAGGTCTTTATTCATGAGCTGCTCCTAAAGTATGTTCATGACGACATGTTCTGCTGGTAATCCCAGCCTTAGTGTCACCACAATTGTGAAATGTGTTGATTTTTAGTTATTTTGCTCAAGGTTACTTCTCCGATATTTATCGATAATCGATCGATGTTCATTTAACGTTGATCTTACTGTACAGGGTTCGAAATACCCCATATATTAGTGTGCCATGGCACAGTAAATATTGAAATGGCACGGCTGGAAAATGTTCTCTGTGCCCTTTTGACACGCCTAATTTTCTAGACCCATAACTCACATTCAGTCATTTAATCCCCAAACCAATTATTTTTTTCCAAACTGAATAATACCATACATATTTGAATGCTCATAAACCCATTTCTTTATTTAACACTAAATTTCCAATGATCATCCTCATTGTCATTTATTCTAAAAACATGTGGGCATACTTGATTTCTGAAAGGCACACCTAAAATATTTGTCTGGTGCCCTTAGGCACACTTAGAAAAAAAAGTATTTCTATCCCTGCTGTATGATCTATATCCATAGCCAGCCGGGTGGTTGGGTAGCCTAGTGGTTAAAGCATTCGCTTGTCACAAAGTGTGAAGCCCATTTCTGGTGTCCCCTGCCGTGATATTGCTGGAATTTTGCTAAAAGCGGTGTAAAACCCAACTCACTCTCCATAGCCAGCCCTGTCTGACAGTGATGCTACACTGCGTCAGCAAACCACTGACCAGTCAAAATGCAGCAATGACCTTTTGTTACATTTGTGTGTTGCAATATTCCAACCATGTGGCAGTCGTCTGTACTAAGCCTGGCTAAAATGATCGATAATCAGAAATATGGTCAATGGGGAAAATTATTAATGATTATACTATTTATAGATATGAAATTTGTGTTATTGATACTATCATATATTAACTTTTGTGCAAATTGAGGACTTTATTCGTGGTCTGCTTTTAAATTAAGTTCAGGAGGCTGTCTTTGTTAAAAATTCATGGAAAACATTGTCACCACTCACAAGTAATGGGAAATATATTCATTTCTTTGAGACGTTTTTTTGCATTTTTGCTCAAAGTTACATTTCCGACACTTATCGATAATCAATTGATATTTAGTTAACAATTATTGATCACTGTTTCTATATCAATAGTCGACCTTACTTTGGATATTATCAGACAACAAATAAATAACATTTATTGTTATGTACCTCAAAAATCCTTATTGATGTTGTCATGGCAACCAAGTCTGAGAAATTGTTCGATTGTTTTAAGGCATATATCCCATTTCAGTTGTGTGTTTAGCTAGTACTATTTGAACCAAACAAAAATGTTCCCATTTTCTGTCTATTTTATTCACTTCCAAATTGTATTAAAATTGAACATACCAAAGGCATTGAGAACTGAAATACAACCGTCATGGAGCACTACACTCATTTTTACCGTTTCTTACTTTAATTTAGTAGTCTTGGTTAACTTCAATGGCAGGGCAATAGCGGATTTCATGGAATTTGTTTAACAGTGTTCACGAATAGTGTTTCAAAGTAACAGGACATTGGGTCCTGTAAGTTTCAGATGTCTGGCTCACCCACTGAAAATTCACAGGACCCATAGAATAAAAATTAAACACTCATTTCAGATTTAACATTTTTTATCTTATAATTGGCGTTGAAATTATTAACAAATGTAAAATTTATAGACAGCAAACAAGTGTGACACATATAACAACTTCAGTCGAAGTCATTGTGCAATATACAGTCAGACACTGGGGCTGACGGGTTGTAAACTTCCATCAGACCGTCGGCAAATGTAGCGGATTTGTTTGAGCTTCTGACGCTAATCGTGAACACTGGTTTAATATGCACTCAAAAAGATCAAACTGTGACTCGTGAAATCCCACTAATCCCAGGAAAAACCAACCTGTCAACCAACTAGACTTGCACAAGTCTTTAGCATGTCTGGGGACACAATTATTAGTTTAAATCTTATTCCTAGATCTATATGCAATAAGAACATTTCACCCGTCTTTAACTTGCCATCAATTTAGATACTATTGCAATATTTCCATGGGCGTCTTATTCAGAACAGACTGAGCAAGTCTACTGGCGGACCTAAGTATGGCTTACACAGTTTTGCATGCTTGCAGTTATGCATTTACATAAGGCAAAGCCGATCTATAAACACATGTTGACTAATCGTTCAATAAATAAGATAAGTTGTAGGGGAAAAATTTCCTCCAGAATCTAATTGTTAAAGTTCCTTCTAGTGCTGATAGAAGAAAAAGAAATATGCTAACATTTGATGTCTGCTAGAAATATGCAGACTTTTTGCATCTGCTCAGTTTTATATAATTGGATTGTTTCAGTAAACAGAAGCAGCAAATACAAGCTTTTATAAAATTATCCTAATGGAAACAGTAAGACTAAGAATGGAATCCCCAATTCCAACCTTTTCCCCTATTTGCCTGCCAAGATAAAAAAGTGTTTTTTCCCATTCTCTTTCCACAGAGGTTACTGAAGTCATATCTTCCCAGGTAACCTCTGTTCTAATATATGTCCTGATTCTAGTAAAATCCCCTGGCGGCCAAAAATAGCACCAAGAATTATCTCCCTTCTTTCTATCCAATCAGAACATGTGTTACATCGACATAGATCCAATATGGCGGCCGCCATGGCGTTAGTTGATCAATATGCGAAGGATAGATTCGGTATTTCATGTTTAACTGAAATTAGAAACTAGCAATAGAAAGTATGGCCACAAATATTCCTTCTCTGCTTATGACTTCTGTTGATGTGACACAAGAGCTGGTTATCGTTACATTTTGTCGGTTCGATAATCGCTAGTGTCAGATCAATCGATTATAATCGTTTGGACGGTCATTTCATAGTCAAATACCTACGTTAGCGAACTAACTTCCGGGTTGTCAGCACGTGTCAATTGTTAACGCTAGCAAGTTACTTACTTTTGCAGCGTCTTTGGATCATCAAGTATCCTATCGTCTCACATTTATTGTAATATGTTTTCGATCGGCAATTACAGTTCCCGTTCATGGCGCAAAAATTCGAGAAAATCCATGAGAAGCATCCCGAATGACAACAAGGTGATCCTCGCTATCGGTCTGACATAAATATGCTACGAATCAAGTTTCCATGTGTAGGCACAGTATAAAACCCCCACTAAAGATTCATTTTAACTCCGGGATCCTTAATGCAATCTCTACCTCATAATCAAATGCACAAAAGTCCTAAATCTTTACTTCAAAGATGCCATTAATGTTTTGTCTGCTTAGTTGACATCCCACCTTACAAGATCACGCTACTAGTCATGAGAGCACACTGTTAAATTTATTTTCATGGCATGCCATTTTTTAAAAGAACTTTTTTCTGTCTTGTGTTGATGTTGAAGGGTGAACAAAGACTTTTCCTTAATGTTGAAACACAAAATTTATTCTGTGAAGTATTATAATTATGCATTGTATCGAAAGTTCAAGAGAATTCATGAAACCAAAAATAGCTCTATTCTTACCTGTCTTTCGAAAGTCACGTGTTTGTATGCAAATGCACCTCAAGGAATTCCCTCTTTCAGCCAATTAGAAAATAGCTAACCTGTAATACCTGGGTCTTCAGTAACCGACCAGTAACCTACGTTTGTCGTAAGAGGCGACTAACGGGATTGGGTGGTCAGGCTCGCTGACTTGTTTGACACATGTCATCGGTTACAATTGAGCAGATCGATACTCATGCTGTTTATCACTGGATTGTCTGGTCCAAACTCGATTATTTACAGACCGCCGCCATATAGCTGGAATATTGCTGAGTGCAATCGAGTCTAACCACCCGATCCCTTATGACGTATCCGATCGTTGTTCATGATAACAATCACTGTCTAGGGTTGATTACTATAGCTACTCTCATCATAGAGCCAGAGTACTGTTGACTGTGGTGTTAAACAACAATCACTGGATTGTTTTGTCCAGGGTTGATTGCTAACAGACTCTCATCATAGAGCTAGAGTACTGATGACTGTGGTGTTAAACAACAATCACTGGATTGTTTTGTCCAGGGTTGATTAAACACAGGCTCTCATCATAGAGCTAGAGTACTGTTGACTGTGGCAGATTTACAGGACGCGAATTCCTGCATCCTATAAGCTTAAAATTTGACAATGGACGCATTAAAATGGACGCAACAAAATTTATTAGCATATCCACAGGGACGCAGAAAAAGTCCAAATAATTTTGTAAAAATTCCAATCAAGTAACAATAAGTTATCACTGAGTTTGCTACTAGCTGGGATATGGTATCATTTGCAATTTAATTACTGTAACAATGTGATGATGATGATGATACACAATATAATAACAGTATTAATAATAACATTTAAGTGTCTGGGACCCCCATTTTGTAGTCCAGGACCCCTGAAAGTTAAGAGTATGAGTCCCAAGGTAAATCCCTACTGTGGTGTAAAACAACAATCACTGGATTGTGTGGGCCAGGGTTGATTACTCACAGACTTTCCCATATAGCTGGAATATTGCAAGGTGTAGTGCTAAACCTTGGCCTAAAATGTGAATATCCTTGCCTTGGAACTTTCAACACTGATCATGCTGATCAGACAGTGAATGTTGACAAGGCCTAATAAAAAAAAATGATGTGGTTCCGATTGCACCTCTTTAAAAGTTAGGGTAGGTAGGATTTTTTTATTTTATTTATCACAATGTGTAAATGTTTATTCAGTCGAGCTAGCAGCCAGCATGTCGACTTTCTCTATCAGAATAACCGATGCCTATCAGTGCCTAGAAAAAGACAATGGTATCGGAAAGCCTATTTTATTCATACCGCTTAAAGAGAATAGGGTCGGCACCAAAATTCAAGGGTCGGTCGGGTAGTCGGAAACCACAAAATTTAGGCCCAACTAACCTGTTGTTTCAACTTTCAGGAAGTAAACTTTGTTGTTTTGTTTCAGTTGTTGTGGGCTGGGAGAGAAACAACCGTTATTCCATCTGCAACTCAGGTGAACAACAGTTTATGTTCGCGAAGGAAGGTAAGACTCTTGATGACATTATTCACTGAGGTATCTCCAGATTCACAGATATAACACCAAAATATCTGTAACAATATGGTTCATCAATGTATTTCGAAAGTACCAAGATGGGATACACCTACATATGTCCTATGTCATTATTCAGTGGTTTATTTCTTCCAGTGTTCAAGAAGTTACATAGCCTAATCATTAGTCAGGTTAGTGTAACCTTCTGATTTGAAACCTGTTTTTCAAGGAAAATATCAGCTTTGAAAACATTATTGATACTATACATGTACATGTCATATAGTATTTGAAAGGTCTATTCCTACTGCTAGGGTCTAACCCTTAGCCCTCCCCTGTCCACTCAACCCTCCTCACATGACTTACGTCTCACTACACCCCGAAACCCTTAACCCTCCCCTGTCCACTCAACCCTCCTCACGTGACTCACTTGTCACTACACTCTGAAACCCTTGGCCCTCCGTCCACTCAACCCTCCTCGCATGACTCACGTCTCACTACACCCTGAAACCCTTGGCCCTCCCCTGTCCACTCAACCCTCCTCACGTGACTCACTTGTCACTACACTCTGAAACCCTTGGCCCTCCTCTGTCCGCTCAACCCTTCTCACATGACATCTCACTACACCCTGAAACCCTTGGCCCTCCTGTCCACTCAACCCTCCTGACATGACACATCTCACTACACTCTGAAACCCTTGGCCCTCCCATCCGCTCAACCCTCCTGACATGACTCACGTCTCACTACACTCCGAAACCCTTGGCCCTCCTGTGTCCACTCAACCCTCCTCACATGACTCGCGTCTCACTACACTCCGAAACCCTTGGCCCTCCTGTGTCCACTCAACCCTCCTCACATGACTCGCATCTCACTGCACCCTGAAACCCTTGGCCCTCCTGTGTCCGCTCAACCCTCATGACATGACTCACATCTCACTACACTCCGAAACCCTTGGCCCTCCTGTGTCCACTCAACCCTCCTGACATGACTCGCGTCTCACTACACTCTGAAACCCTTGGCCCCCCATCCGCTCAATCCTCCTGACATGGCTCGCGTGTCACTGCACCCTGAAACCCTTGGCCCTCCTCTGTCCACTCAACCCTCCTCACATGACACGCGTCTCACTACACCCTGAAACCCTTGGCCCTCCCATCCGCTCAACCCTCCTGACATGGCTCGCGTCTCACTACACCCTGAAACTCTTGGCCCTCCTGTGTCCACTCAACCCTCCTCACATGACACGCGTCTCACTACACTCCAAAACCCTTGGCCCTCCTGTGTCCACTCAACCCTCCTCACATGACACGCGTCTCACTACACTCCGAAACCCTTGGCCCTCCTGTGTCCACTCAACCCTCCTCACATGACTCGCGTCTCACTGCACCCTGAAACCCTTGGCCCTCCTGTGTCCGCTCAACCCTCCTGACATGACTCGCGTCTCACTACACTCCGAAACCCTTGGCCCTCCTGTGTCCACTCAACCCTCCTGACATGACTCGCGTCTCACTACACTCCGAAACCCTTGGCCCCCCCATCCGCTCAATCCTCCTGACATGGCTCGCGTGTCACTGCACCCTGAAACCCTTGGCCCTCCTCTGTCCACTCAACCCTCCTCACATGACTCGCGTCTCACTACACCCTGAAACCCTTGGCCCTCCCATCCGCTCAACCCTCCTGACATGGCTCGCGTCTCACTACACCCTGAAACTCTTGGCCCTCCTGTGTCCACTCAACCCTCCTCACATGACACGCGTCTCACTACACTCCAAAACCCTTGGCCCTCCTCTGTCCACTCAACCCTCCTCACATGACTCGCGTCTCACTGCACCCCGAGACCTACAAACCATCTCTCTGGTTACTGTTCACCCTTCCCCCTCAACCTCCCTTCCCACTCAACCTCCCCTCAACCTCCCTTCCCCTCCCTTCCCACTCAAACCATTTCCTCCAATATGCACACTGACCCAGTGTCTCACCTACATGCAAGTGACCTGTGAAGATCTGGGTTAGAATTTGTTTTCATCATCCCATACTTGTTGTTTGTAAGAGGCGACCAACAGGATCGGGCGGACAGACTCGATGACTAGGTTAACACATGTTATCGCATCCCAATTGCTTAGAACAGTCCCTGAATTGTCTGGTCCAGACACAATTATTTATAGCATGACACCATATAGCTGGAATATTGCTGAGTGTAGCATAAACAACCAACCAACCAACCAACCAACCAACCATTTCCTCCAATAAGGGGGCGGTGGGGTAGCCCAATGGATAAAGCGTTGGCTCGTCACACCTAAGACCTGGGTTCGAATCCCCACATGGGCACAATGTGTGAAGCCCATTTCTGGTGTCCCCTGCCGTGATGTTGCTGGAATATTGCTAAAAGCGGCGTAAAACAAAACTCAGTCAGTCAGTCCTCCAATAAGGACATTGACACACTGTCTCAGCTACTCACCTTGATCTGGTTACAGACACAGACTGCTGCATGCGACAGATGTGCGGACCGATGCGAGAGTTCAACATGAACATCACTGACAACCAAGGTCAGCAACTTATCTCCCTTTACCGCCCATACCGATGTCGTGGTAGTCTCCTCTGGTGCTGCTACCTGCAAGAGCTTGAGATCCAGTCTCCCCCCGGCTTGACCATCGGGACAGTCAAGGAGGTGTAAGTACGAGTTGCTGATTCAGGGCTAGGGATGGCCCCCAACAACCTGTTGTTGTAGTCAGAGGTCAGCTGTTGAATCATGAGGTAGGCAGGGATCTATATCAGTCAACTCCAAGGCCGATATTAGTCACAAGTCTGACAATAAAATCTGTGAATTAGGGTTAGAATTGGTTTCCAGCAACCCATGCTTGTCTTAAGAGGCAACTAGCAGGATCAGGTGGTCAGGCTTGATGACTTGGTTGACTTGGTCATCGTATCCTAATTGACGTGATTGATGCTCATGCTGTTGATCACTGGATTGTCTGGTTAAGACGTGATTATTTCCATCATATAGCTGGAATATGGCTGAATGCGGAATTAAACAACAAACAAACTGACAGTAAGAATTACCATTTTGAATAAAAGATGTCCCTGTTTCTCAGAATTTACAAAGATAAAATGTAAAAAAATCCACATTTAAACATATGTTTGTTTTCTTGTTTGTCTGCTAGACACTTAGTTTAGAATTTGGGGTAATCTGTGGGCCTGCGACTTTCACTTGATTTTGTATTCTGGTGTCCCCCGCCGTGATACTGCTGGAATATTGCTAAAAAAAACTAAACTCACTCACTCAACAATACACAATAATACGGTTATTGGATTTAAATGGGCCAGGATCAATGTACCAGGAGATATTGGTTTTTGATAGGTCTGCAACCAACCCACTATGAGGCAAATGTGATACGAGTCACAAATGCAATAACTAGACAGCAGTTTATGTATTTTTCATTATATTCAATGAAATAAAACACATTGGTATGTTTTGACCCTGTTGCAGTGTTAATCTATCAAAGAACAGTAACAGCGTTACTGTCACATAAATATATCAGAGTGTTAACTCATATCCTGCCACTATATGTTCCATTTTGTGTATCTCGCTTTCATGAATGGCACCCGAATTCCAGTAAAAACACTTCCTTTTGAAAATGTTTCGATGATTGCGAATAACGAATTAAGAGTTATTGTTTGATTCACAGTCATGCCTATATCAGATATATATACTGTAGGAGACAAACACCATTTAATAGTTGATAACTAACATACAGTTTGTTAAATGTTAATATGGGGTAATGGATTGAAAAACTGACAAAAAATGGTAATAATTCAGTTATTTGTTGAGGGGGCGGTGGGGTAGCCCAATGGTTAAAGCGTTGGCTCGTCACGCCTAAGACCCGGGTTCGAATCGCCACGTGGGCACAATGTGTGAAGCCCATTTCTGGTGTCCCCAGCCGTGATGTTGCTAGAATATTGCTAAAAGCGGCGTAAAACCAAACTCAGTCAGTCAGTTATTTGTTGTGAGGTTCTGGGCCATGGTAGAACTTGGTGAGGTTGTCTCAAGAAGTTGAAATAACTATGAATTATGTGAAAATAACATGGCAAATTGATTTTTAAGATGAAATATGATATTTGAATTTTAACAATGATAAAATATAAATCAAGTGTAGACTGTGAGTTACTCCCAAGAATTTCTTATATTGAGGTATTTTTGTTATTTTGTTTTGTCATTGACATCTGACATATTGCCTTGGAAATGTAACAGACATGTGTAAGGATTGTCGTAAAGGAAAGTGAGATGTTTATATGATGAATGGTGCTGTTTATTACAGATGGACAGCGTGGACACCAAAGTACCAAGTATACGACAACAACATGACGTTGATGTTCACCATCGTTGGGGACTGCTGCTACTGCAAGTGCTGTGCTGATGTCATGTTCCGAGTGAGTCCGTCTTAACTCGTAGTAACTCCATACTACTACTGCAACATTGTTTCATATTAGGGCTGCAACGATTTACTCAGACCTCGATTTGATTCGATATTGGACCCTCGATTCGATAATTTTTTATTCAATTGTTTTAAGTAAAAAACATCAGAGTCAAACTTCAAACTTTCAGAGTCGGCTTTTTTTGCCGTGAAATCCATCGTAAACTTGGCGATGTCTACTAACAACAATTCTCATTGGATAACAAGGCTTGTGTCAACAATCACGTTTCGCCTTATGCTCCAAACTGCTAGAGTTGGAGTCAACTCAACAGCTGAGCTAGATATCGGCACTATACAAATGTGTGGGTGTGCGCGCGTGCGTGTGTCCAACTAATTGTTCAGGAGAGCCTGTGACATTTTTCTCTCTGCATGATAATGGACAGTGATCTCCCTTTGTTTTGTAGGTTCTCGAGGGAGATGAAGGACAAGAGATTGGACAGATCGTCAAGCATTGGGGAGGCTGCCGGGAGATCTTTGGCGGAGTCAATGACTTCAGTCTCAGATGTAAGTACAGATCACATGACGCATTTCTAGATGGCAATATGACTAGCAAGAGACATACAGGCACATTCATTGACAATTGGTGAAATATATACTGGACAAAAATAGTTAGGGATATATGTACATTTCGAAATTATGAATAATGATCTATTATTCATTGATACACTGATAAAATATCAATCATAACAATACCAATATCCCTAACTTATTTTGTCCATTATATTTACAGACACACATTCACAACCGTTGATATATATTTACAGACAGACACACACACATTCACAGACATCAGCAAGACACACACCCAGTCACACATTCATGCACAACAGCGAGACACACACCCAAGTCACACATTCACACACACCCAGTCATATTCACACACACCAGTAAGAGACAGCCTCCGACACACATTAACAGACACCAGTAAGAGACAACCTCAGACACACATTCACACACACCAGTAAGAGACGATCTCAGACAGTCACACGCTCCAGTAAGAGACAATCTCAGACACACATTCACACACACCAGTAAGAGACAACCTCAGACACACATTCACAGACACCAGTAAGAGATCTCAGACACACATTCACAGACACCAGTAAGAGACAACCTCAGACACACATTCACAGACGTCAGTAAGAGACAAGCTCAGACACATATTCACAGACACCAGTAAGAGACAACCTCAGACACACATTCACAGACACCAGTAAGAGACAACCTGAGACACACATTCACAGACACCAGTAAGAGACAACCTCAGACACACATTCAGAGACACCAGTAAGAGACAACCTCAGACACACATTCACAGACAACAGTAAGAGATTAACTCAGACACACATTCACAGACACCAGTAAGAGATGAATTCAGACACACATTCACAGACACCAGTAAGAGATTAACTCAGACACACATTCACAGACACCAGTAAGAGATGAATTCAGACACATTCACAGACACAGTAAGAGATTAACTCAGACACATATTCACAGACACCAGTAAGAGACCTCACACACATTCACAGACACCAGTAAGAGACAACCTCAGACACACATTCACAGACACCAGTAAGAGATTAACTCAGACACACATTCACAGACACCAGTTAGAGACAATCTCAGACACACATTCAGAGACACCAGTAAGAGACAACCTGAGACACACATTCACAGACACCAGTAAGAGATTAACTCAGACACACATTCAGACACCAGTAAGAGATTAACTCAGACACACATTCGCAGACACCAGTAAGAGATTAACTCAGACACACATTCGCAGACACCAGTAAGAGATTAACTCAGACACACATTCACAGACACCAGTAAGAGATTAACTCTGACACACATTCACAGACACCAGTAAGAGATTAACTCAGACACACATTCAGACACCAGTAAGAGATTAACTCAGACACACATTCGCAGACACCAGTAAGAGATTAACTCAGACACACATTCGCAGACACCAGTAAGAGATTAACTCAGACACACATTCACAGACACCAGTAAGAGATTAACTCTGACACACATTCACAGACACCAGTAAGAGATTAACTCAGACACACATTCACAGACACCAGTAAGAGACAACCTCAAACACACATTCACAGACACCAGTAAGAGACAACCTCAGACACACATTCACAGACACCAGTAAGAGATTAACTCAGACACACATTCACAGACACCAGTAAGAGACAACCTCAGACACACATTCACAGACACCAGTAAGAGACAACCTCAGACACACATGCACAGACACCAGTAAGAGATTAACTCAGACACACATTCACAGACGTCAGTAAGAGACAACCTCAGACACACATTCACAGACACCAGTAAGAGATTAACTCAGACACACATTCACAGACACCAGTAAGAGACAACCTCAGACACATTCACAGACGTCAGTAAGAGACCTGAGACACACATTCACAGACGTCAGTAAGAGACAACCTCAGACACACATTCACAGACACCAGTAAGAGATTAACTCAGACACACATTCACAGACGTCAGTAAGAGACAACCTCAGACACACATTCACAGACACCAGTAAGAGACAACCTCAGACACACATTCACAGACACCAGTAAGAGATTAACTCAGACACACATTCACAGACACCAGTAAGAGACAACCTCAGACACACATTCACAGACACCAGTAAGAGAACCTCAGACACACATTCACAGACACCAGTAAGAGACCTCAGACACACATTCACAGACACCAGTAAAAGATTAACTCAGACACCAGTAAGAGACAATCTCAGACACACATTCACAGACACCAGTAAGAGACAACCTGAGACACACATTCACAGACACCAGTAAGAGACAACCTCAGACACACATTCACAGACACCAGTAAGAGATTAACTCAGACACACATTCACAGACACCAATAAGAGATTAAATCAGACACACATTCACAGACACAAACGAGATGCACACCCAGTCACACATTCAGAGACATCAGCAAGACACACTTACAGACATACATTCACAGACACCAGCGAGATACATCCCCAGACACACACTCACACCTTCCTTCTGTTTGCAGTCCCACCCAACATGGATGTGTTGCCGAAGGCCATTCTTCTGGGAGCCACCTTCCTCATCGACTTCAACTACTTTGAACACCAAAAGAACTAGATTTGAGGTTACCATGGGAACAGTTGCCAAGGCTTCAGAAAGAGACATTTTGCCATGACAACAAAGCTTGGTTATTTTATTTTGCATGAAAACGTCCAGCTGGCTTTTGTCAAGGCCTCATTTTCCACCACCGCGGTGTACATCCGGGAAGCACCGCACTGATTTCTTCAAAATAACCACATTCATTGCAAAGCTTCTTCATATAGTTAACAATTTAATGTGGTCAAGTAACAGCTGGTATTTTACTCAGATGATCCTTACAGCCAATCATCATATAGGCACGTGCATGCAATCTTCACAAATGTACAGAAAGGACATAAAAAATATATGTTTGGCATCCATGGGTACACAAAATAATATTCGTTATTACAATTTGTTGACAAGATAGTAGTTACTGTAATTAAAGTAATTATTACATCTTAAAAGCCTGATTTACTTTGGCATGTGTTTGTTAACATTCTGGTGCCTCGTAAGGCTTGTATACTCCTCAGTGAGTTGAGAATGTAATTCTAGTGCACCTTGATTCACTGACTGGCTATCAATGCCATATACAGGGATCTTCAGACATATCACAAATGTTCATCAATATTATTTTGTAATATGCTTAGACCAAATTATGTGATGACCAAATCGTATGGCACATTATTGTTTAATATCACAGTGCACTAAATCTGCCTTATCAAGCCTTTTTGCCATTGGTCCATCCAGTTTTGGTAAACATGGAGCCGTTCATCTAGCCAGGAACAAACTTTTATTAACTGCTCCCTCCTAATGAGATCATTGTAGATATTTTACATAATTTTACAATGTTTTATATGTTAATATTTTTATGATTTCTTGTGACATAATATTTCTTGTCTTAATGAGTTCTGTATGACCAGTTGTTTGTATCATATTGAACTTGTATTGCAGTTTATTGTTGTATATTTTCAATGACCAAGTTTGGTACGTTTTAAGAGTATTTTTAAACTGTTGATAAGTTTTAATGACATGTTATTGTAACCATTCCCTCATTTACAGAGGGTTTCATAAAGTTCTCCTTGTGTTCATGTTAACTGTATCTGATCCAAAACTGCACAAGCTGAATAGGTGTTAATATCTTCAGACGTTCAGATGTCTAGCAGACATGTTCATAAAAATAGGCATAATAGTTTTAAATAGTATGTTTGGCTTTTTATCCAATCTGGTGTCTACGCTGGGAAGTTGAGCGAACCAATCACAACTCACTATCGCTTCTTAAATTATCTAACCGTTTAAACTTGGCAACACAATTCATGCACAGGTACTCTGAAAGAGGTAGAAGGAGTTCTTTCATACATATTTTTAAAGAGTGATATTGCAGGAATATTGCTAAAAACAGTGTAAAATTATACTCACTCACTCACTCTCAGTCATTTGAATGAGACCGTAATATTGTACCGTTGCACCAGTGCAAGTAACAAAGCACTAAATCGAGCCCTGTAAATGCAAATCTTGAGTAAAAGAACATGAAGGGAGGTGTATTGGATCTTGCCGTTTCAAATCATAGAGGATATTATTTGATTTGATATTGCAGCAATATTGCTAAAAGTGGCATCAAACCACACTCACTAACTAACTCCCATGCAGGTCAGTTACTGTATTCAGTGGACAAGTCTTGCAATAGAAGTAACTGGATCCAAATGATAGTGGGCACATTTACTTGACAGATAATGTCCAAGTAGGTGAACTGAATAAGATAAACTGCCTTTTTAACTTTTCAAAATTGTTCACTTTTAAGGTTTATCCGGTTTGTGGAAGATTTTGTTGTCTGTTGCAAAACTTTGTTCTTTTTGATAAATGTGTCAACTTAGTAATACCCTGTCACTTACTCTATCATTGTTCTTGGGCAGAATTCCCATGATTAATGATTTGCAAGATATATATGTGCATTCTTCCTTGGATATTCAGTTCTATTGCCGTTAGAAGGCAGTGCTATTGCCCTGTAAATAGGCAGTTATATTGCAATGTCAACGCTTTCCCTGTCCTGTTCCGTATATATACTGCTCAATAACAAAAGTTATGGGTCACCCCAATTTTCAATATTAAAGTATTTTTAAAATGGTTCATATTATGATCCGTATAATATTTAAATATTGAATATTGGGGTTTTCCTTAACTTGTTTGGTTTCCCATGTATATGTGGAAATATTGTGTATCTACCTGTCTTGTGTGGAAACAGTGTAGCTATATCCTGTATACCATCCATATGAGAAAATAGTGTGGCGCTATACCCTATATATCATCCATATACGGGAATAGTTTGTAGCTATATCCTTTTCCCATGTATATGTGGAAATAATTTGTATCTACCTGTCTTGTATGGAAATAGTGTGTAGCTATCTGTGACACACTGTCATCGCATCCAATTACGTAGATCAATGCTCATGCTCTTGATCACTGGATTCTCTTTCCAGAAACGATTATTTACAGACATGCTGTGTGCAGCATAAAACTATACTCGTTCACTCAAGGGACATTACCTTTATTGAGCTCAATGTCACTTAAATCTTTTTCCCCGTCAGAACAACAAATTTGAATGTTCAATCCAGTCGTCTGTTGTGTTAAGATTTGCTTTGCAGGTTGTGTTGTCGAACTATTTTGTTGTTCCCTGCTGTGATATGGCTAGAATGTTGCTCATTTTTTACCCACTAATTACGAATAAACAATCAAATTAACAACTTACTTCTTGATAAACGAGAATATCACCATATTGTGGTGAAGTGTTGTACGGATGACAATCTTTGGATGAGTTGAGCGTTTTGTTCCTCATAGACTACATCATTGCACTATCAAGTGTAACTAATCACCCCAGACACCTATCGCTGTCCCTGGTCCTTATCTCCAATCCAGAACAATTTAGTCACTTCAGAACACAAAAGTCGTCCCAGGATACTTAATCTACCCTCAGTGTGAAGACCCTGGTTCGAATCCCCATTTGGGTACAATGTGTGAAGCTTATTTCTGGTGTCCCTCACCATGAATTTGTTAAAAGTGGCATAAAAGTCACTCACTGATCTACCCTCAAACGTCAAAACCATCTTAGTACAATAAGACTACCATGGCCATCTGAGAATTATTAAGCCGTTTTAGGCTAAAGCCATCCCAGGACAATTAACCCAAAATAGAACACTCAAGTCAGGACGATGGAACTAAAATCACATTACATCAGCAGGATCAGTTACTCCGGAAAACAAGAAACAAGTCCTATGTAGATGTTTAGTTTTTAGAAAAGGTTTGTGAAAAGGTTCCTCTGAGATCTGATACCTCCAACTGGAGTTCAGGTGACCTTCCTGCTGAATTAATTTGTATCAAGGCTTCAAAATTGTGTGAACAAAGCTGAATTGCGTTTGAAGTCTGATTAAGAACCTGTACTTAATTGATATAGATTAAGCAGTGAATATTTGCTCTGTGGCAAGGTTTGTAAAAGATTTGATTTTGATGGGATCATGTTGAGTATACTTGTTGATAATGGCAGTAACAAATGCTCACGGTCATATTTGTTTGCTTACTTTGATTGGATCAGAACATTAAACTTGGAAAGTCAACATTGCGTTATGTGTTGCTTCTGAAGAACAGGTGAAGTTGTCGACTCAATAGTGCGATGTTCCTTCATCAATGCTTCCGACCCCGGTTAGTCACCTCTTACGATAGCATATGTTACTGAAGACCAATTCTAACACCGATCTTCACGGATCACTTGAATACAGCTATATATTGTATTCAATGCGCCTGGAAACTTTTACAGGTTGAAAAAATACACCAGGTGTATGGTTCTGCCCACGTCTGAAATAGATCTAGATTACATTTCATGATAGATCACATATTTGACTAGAACCAACTGGAGAATTTACCAGAGGGATGAATCTTCAGTCACATGTAATGTTTTCAAAGGTGAAGCTTAGTTTGGAAGTTCAGTGCAAAACAGTGACATTTATGAATGTCATGGTTTTCTAAATATCATAGCACTAAACTTGACTACATACTGCTTTCAATGCCGAGGTTGCTGTTCAAACTGATGAATATCCACCCCACCATGATATAAAACTATAACTGATATACTGGTCAACTTACATCTCACCTACAGTGTTCACGAATGGTGTTTCAAAGTAACAGGAGATTGGGTCCTGTAAGTTTCAGATGTCTGACCTACTGAAAATTCACAGGACCCATGGAATAAAATTAAACACACATTTCAGATTTAACATTTCTTATAATTGGCATTGAAATTATTAACAAACATAAGATTTATAAACAAACAAACGTCACATATACACAACTTCAGTCAAAGTCATTGTGAAATATACAGTAAGACACTGGGGCTGGTGGGTTGTAGACTTCTATCGACCATTGGCAAATCTGCCGGATTTGTCCGAAGGGTCAGAGGCTATTCGTGAACACGGCATCTACCCATGAAGATCTGGGTTAGAACCCATGCTTGTTGAAGATGCTTGAGATCAGGTGGTCAGGCTCGCTGACTTGGTATCCCAATTTGCGTAGATTGATGCTAATGCTGTTGATCACTGGAATATTGCTGAGAGAGGCGTTAAATAGGAAACCCAACAAACAAACCAACCAACCAACCAACCACTTCCAGCAACAACAAAAGCAGAGTGACACATTCAACATTTTATTACAATCTGTTCACTGGAACATGGGAGCTGCAAATAACATGAGTCAGGTGATATTACAATACATGTGGCTGTGGTGACAGTGACAGCGCCACGGTGAAGCGGCGCGGGGCTATGTGACGACATGAGAGAAGAGAGACAAATAGAAGCAGAATTAAATCGCCACAACACCTCGCTACCAACAACACGGCCTTGTACGTACATCTGACAGGCTTCCTCATCCGTGACGGATACAAACATAACATCACAAGACTTATTAGTACATCCTCATTCGATTACAAAAACTGATTAGAAAATGTGATGAAAATAACAGGATAACACTTTAAGAGGCAAGCTGTTTCACTTTTAGTTAAATTTAAAATTTTAATGCATTGTAACTATTTCACTTCATTATTTGATTGCAATTATTTCTCATTCATCAAACGTTTAATTTATCTGGATGTATGTATTTTTTTTATCTACAGTGAATTTGATTACATAAACAAATTAATAAATAATAAGAATAAAGACAAATGATATGCAACTGATTATCCAAAATTCACTCTAGTTTTATTGCTTTTGAATTGAAAACAACTTTCAATTGAAGGCAGTGTTTTATTTAATTTTTAATAGATCTTTGAATTATATATTATCTGCCCTTTTTGATAAAAAATGAAAACACAGAAAACCTTGTTCCCCAAAATAAAATAGTGGTTGCACGTTCCTGATAAGAAAGAATGTCATCACCTATTCATTCTCCGGCACAGAACATACCATGTTTAAGTACAAGAAACTCATAAACAACGCAAATTGATAACAAACTGATACCAAAGCTGAGGATTTCCAATACGGCTGAGGAAGTTTGTCAAGTAAAGAACTGTATTTTTTAAAAAGTCCAAGAATTGATCATCATACAGGGAAGGATCTTTATACAATTGTTCATCTTGCCCGAGCCCTGTGGAGGGAGCTCTGTATTGCTGAGCATCTTCCCACTCTGGCTACATCGGTCACGTGACACAAAACACAGTAGGTAATCCAGTCTTTGGGAAGCAGCACACGGGTGTGCGTGTCCATCCGTCCATATATCTCACTACAGTAATTATAACGATATTAGCAAGTTACACAGTCTCCTCCAAGCTGCTTGCCGAGCTACTCCGGGACGGCCGAGGTTCCTGTCGCGAAGACTTTGTTGATCATCACAGGTGTCGCCACGGGAACCTCGCCACAACAGCTGCAAGAAGAAACAAGAAATATCGGTTACATTTTGTACACCCACAGCTGAATAAAATAGTGGGTCTGTGAGTATGGTTTTACGCCGCTATTAGCAATATTCTAGCAATAACACAGCAGGGGACACCAGAAATGGGCTTCACACATTGTACCCATGCGGGGAATCGAACCCGGGTCCATGATGCGCGGACACATTAACCATTAGACTACCCCCCCCACCACTGAACAAAACAATTGTAGTGTATGACAATGACTAACTGAGAGATGGTCAGTGTGAAAACTTTCAGTTTTATCACGACAGTCAATTATGTCAAGACTAACAGACCATTCATTCTCCAGGAAAACGTTCTCACAACTAGATTTGTTCGTTTGTTATTTAACGCCGCACTCAGCAATATTCCAGCTATATGGCAGCAGTCTGTAAATAATAGAGACTAGACCAAACAATCCAGTGATCAACAGCACAAACATCTACGCAATTGGGATACGATGACATGTGTCAAACAAGTCAGCGAGTCTGACCACCCGATCCCATTAGTCGCCTCTTACGACAATCATGGGTTGCTGAGGATCAATTCTAACCCAGATCATCACTGGTCTGGAATGGAGGTGGCCAACTACTGAAATGAATCTTCTCATCTGCACATATTTTAGAATCTTAAGTTCAGACCAACAAGAACATACAGACACCACGTTTCTGAGATCATATCATTGCAGATTGATAACAAACAGCATATCAAGTCAAATTATTCATAGTTCCAGCACTCCAGCACAATACTTGCTAATGTTCAAAACCACTTCAAATTATTCTACCTCCAGTTCCACAATGTCCTCTTAGCACTTCAACTATTGTGCCTATGTAAAAGTAGGGGAGTTGTGATCTTAAACCTGAGACCTCTGGGATGTCATAGCGAGGTATTGCCTTCAGTCACAGCACAGCAACAATCACATCAACAGAAAGACAAGAATATCAGTGTCGGTTTCTATGTTCGCGAAACTACAGCGAAAATGAAATACTCACATCACAAATTAGGTTAGCTTATGCAGACAGCTTCAGGGCTGAAACATGAGAAACACAGTGTCAGGTCTCCTGGCAATTATGGCCAACATATCACATCAACATGGGGAATATAAGCAATATCAAGCTGCCTTCAACGGCTTGAGATAATGCATGTACACAATGTTTTACATGACACATATTTCCTGTGTATTTGACTACAATATTTCAAAATATATTTACATGAGCCACATTTTCTTTTCTTGAAATTATGACAGCGATTATGCATAACAGACATTACCACTCTAGTTGTAGCAGCTAGCAGTGGTGTGGCGGTCTACTCCCATTTGCGAGAACTCCCAATTGTGAGACTCCCAGTTATAAGACAGTGGACTAGGTAATTAACAAAGAAAACACATCATACTCCCTTGTCTGATAGAATGGATTAACCCTAGTTAATTACTGATTTGCGATGAATCTTTAGGAGGTAACTAAATGAAACTTACTTTTTTTATATGTACTTAAAAATATATTTATGCAAAAGTAAATATCGATGACGTCACATCCTCCATTTCATTTTGTATTTTATGTTGCATGGGAAGCGGTGTTAACATAAGCAGTAATGCTTGTTCACCAATCCCAATTCATTTTCATAAATAATAAAATATGTTTAAACAAAAATGACTTTCAAACTTCATAATAGTCAATAAAAATGTGTTATCATAATTACATATTCTTCTGAATAAATAAAATATTTAATGAACTATTTCTTCTGTGTAAATATAATCTTTGATAATCTATTTCATTAATCAACTCATCAATGAACTATGCCTCCTGTGGGTACTCTTCAACAACTGGGCTGTTCCCACTTTCATCGTAGGGATGTGGAAACACCACCTATGTGCACTGAACCATTAATTAATGTGTCTCACAACTGGGAGTTCTCACAAATGGGAGGACACCGGGGTGGCTGATAGGAGGGGGTATTGGGATCTACTATTTCTGGAACTTTCTGGCAAGAATTCATGCAAAAATGACGACACCACCCTAGTCCCCGCTCACAGAAAGCTGGGGAGGGCGGTGGGTGATGGATGGGGGGTACTGGTGATCTACTCTACCTGGAATCAAGACAGTGTTTCTAAATATCCAACAACACCAGCCTAGAGGAGTGACACATATACTTAAAAATAGCTACTAAATCCAACAATAATTCAATACCAGACAACTCCATGGAGTTAATTATGGAGTCAATGGAGTTAATTATCACATCAGCCAGAATTAGCATGATTAGGAAAACCACCCATATGATCAAAGAATACTTTGGAAGAAGCTGTTAGTAGCCAAACTATCTCACACTGTTTAGGACAAATATCAAAGAACTCAAAGAACTAATGCAACAATCAATGTCAAGGTCACTGACAGTGATCCCAGACTGTGTGCATCTATACAATAAAAACATGGGTACAGCATTGTGTCTTTGACTTGATTTGTTCATTGTGTACACTCGCGAATATTCCAGCCATAACTGCAGTCTTTAAAGAATCGAGTCTGAACCAGACAATCCATGAACATCAATTTACGCAATTGGGATACAATGACATGTGTCAATCAAGTCAGCGACCCTGACCACCCGATCCTCTTAGTCGTCTCTTACGACAAGCATGGGTTCTAATCCGGATCTTCACGGGTATTAGTATAATAAGCATTATCTACACTTGAATCTCCAGTCACTAGTCAGTGGTGGTCTGAATCACAAGTCTAGTAATGATGTATTTACGCCTGTATGCTTGGTCATTCAATGTTTACATTAACATTTCTCTGAAACTATTGAAAATAACACCAAGAGCAAGTTATGCCAGGTAGGCTAAAAATAAGTAAGCCTTCTCTTGTCAACAAGGCCCAGCCTATATTACCACCAATATTCGAAAATGAATTTGAACAGACTGAACAAGGACTCCTTCAACCTTAAACTAAGCGGTCTCCTGCAAAGATCGTATTTCAATTAAAACCTGATACGCTGGTTATTACCAAATAACATTGATCAAAACAAACAAGGGTGACTTCAAAATAGTTTTGTGTTAATAGAAAGAATGGAAAAATATTTGAAAAGTCTTCACATGTCAGCACAAAACAAGAAAAAGCGAACAGGTACTTGACAAGCTTACACCAATGTTCACAGAGAAAAAGCATGTAATTTTTGGAGTAAAATTGATATTTTATACTTATCCTGACTCATGCTCTTTTTGCTTGTCTTCTTCTTCTTCTTGCGAACATAGTGGAACACTTGTATCTCCCCTACTAATTGAAGTTACCTCCTTCAATTTAAAATCACTAATTAGTATTCACCACGGTTACCTCCTTTCCACAAGCGGGAGCGAGGGCCACCCTCTACCCATGTGCCTCACTCTCTCCTCATATACTGAGCCCAACATTTGAATTTACAGGAAATCCAAAGTGTTATTTGGGGAGGATGGGAGGGCTGACCTCATGAGTCAGGATAAGTATAAAATATCAATTTTACTCCAAAAATTACATATTTTTCCTTATCCTGACTCATGCTCTCTGCTTGCTTGTAGCATCCTACAGACGGAGGTGGGAATATCTAATACTTTGGATTTTTAATAATTAGTGATTTGAACTGTGATGATTGTAATAACCCTATGGGAACTTCATAAAGGCACTGAACTGATGAATTCCTGCTGCTAACTTATCAGCTGCCATATAAAGGTTATTACCATGTACTTATTATGATAAAGTATATATAACATTAATACAATGCTTAAGACTAATAGACTTAAGCTTGTTAATATGCTAGTATAAACTCCTTAGAGTTTGTTAGCTAAAATACTTTAAGATATAACATAGTACTAAGCTTAAGATATGATTAAACTTAAGCTAATTATATAATAGCAAACTCTTTAGAGTTTGTTAGTTAATATACTTATATGATATAGATATAATGCTGAGCTTAAGATATGAATAAGCTTTAGCTACATATATAATAGCAAAAACTCTGTAGAGTTTGTTAGTTAATATATTTTTATAATATGAGTATAGTACTGTGCTTAAGCTATAATTAACTTAAGCTACATATATAATAGCCAAACTCTGTAGAGTTTGTTAGCTAATATATTTTTATAATATTAGTATAGTACTGAGCTTAAGATATAATTAACTTAAGCTACATATATATAGCAAAACTCTGTAGGGTTTTGTTAGCTAATATATTTTTACAATATGAGTATAGTAGTGTGCTTAAGATATAATTAACTTAAGCTACATATATAATAGCAAAACTCCATTAGAGTTTGTTAGCTAATATATTTTACAATATGAGTATAGTAGTGTGCTTAAGATATAATGAACTTAAGCTACATATATAATAGCAAAACTCCGTAGAGTTTGTTAGCTAATATATTTTACAATATGAGTATAGTATTGTGCTTAAGATATTATTAACTTAAGCTACATATATAATAAAAAACTCTGTAGAGTTTATTAGCTAATATGTTTATAGTGTAACCATAGTACTAAGCTTAAGATAAGATTAGACTTAAGCTAAATGTATATAGCAAAATAAACTCCTTAGAGTTTATTAACTAATATACTTTTATGTTAAAAACATAGTACTGAGCTTAAGTTATGATGAAACTTAAGCTATATATATATAATAACAAAACTCCGTCGGGTTTTGTTAGCTAATCTGCTTTATAATGTAAACATACTGCTTAAGATATGATGAAAACTTAAGCTAATTGTATAATAGTGAAAACAACCCTTTAGAGTTTGTTAGCTATGATATAAACCTAGTATTGAGCTTATGAAGGAAAACTTAAGCTACATATATAATAGCAAGAACTCCGTAGAGTTTGTTAGCTAATACATGTTATAATGTAACCATAAAGCTTAAAATATGATAAAACTTAATGAAATATATAATAGCAAAACCCTCTTTTAGAGTTTTGATAGCTAATATACCTATATGATATAAACATAGTACTAAGCTTAAGATATGAATAAGCTTAAGTTACATATATAATAGCTAAAACTCTGTAGAGTTTGTTAGCTAATACATGTTATAATATAACCATATTGCTTAGAAATATGATGATACTTAAGCCAAATAGCAAAAACTCTTTAGAGTTTGTTAGCTAATCTACTTATATGATATAAACATAGTACTAAGCTTAAGATATGAATAAGCTTAAGCTACCTATATATAATAGCAAAACTCCTTAGAGTTTGTTAGCCAATATATTTTAATAATATGAGTATAGTACTATGCTTAAGGTATAATTAGCTTAAGTTACCTATATAATAGTAAAACTCCGTAGAGTTTGTTAGCTTAATTAACTTAAGCTATGTATAAAATAGCCAAAAACTCTGTAGAGTTTGTTAGCTAATGCATTTATCATGTAACCATAGTATTACTCTTAAGATATGAATAACTTAAGGTAAATATATATAATAACAAACTCTGTAGAGTTGTTAACTTATATATTGTATGATGTAATAATCATAGTACTGTGATGATAAAAGGAACTTAAGTAAATTATATATAGCATGAAGCTATTTAGTATTGTTATAAGATAAGTAAAAATCTGTTAGATTGACTTATCTTCTCGAGAGAACTGTCAGCTGTTGTCTGAGGACCATGGGATCAATTGGTGTATACCTGAGGCGTCCTCGGTGGTGATATCTCTCAGATAATGGTTTGCAACCACCATATCAGTTTCAGAAATAAACCCTCCATTATTTCAATCATATTTGTGTACAACAATTGTAGAAGTTAAGCTATAATATCATGAGTATTAAGCTCATGGAGGGTGGAATAGGTCCATCCATATGCGCGTAGTATGACAGTTCTGATCCAAATGGAGATATAATACATGAGACTTCACTCTGCGTAAGTTGATGATAGAGAAAATAATCTGTTGCATTTTTTCCTCCTGTTTGGTTTGGTGGAGATAAATTTACAGTGCTCTTGCTGGCCATCTTGATAGAATCATCGTATCATGGGGTCCAAGTATATCATCCAGGCGTGTTCATAAACCTCACTTGTGAGGTGTTGGAACACTATATTCATATCCCCAGGTTGAAGTGAAATTTCCGTTTATTCTCCAAACAGAAGTTTAGTAGGTTTACTAACCATCTAGTTGTGTTAATTGGCTTGATGAAATTCAGCTGTAGTCTGAAGCTGTGGATTTAGATCCACTTGTATCTTTCGTCTAGGTAATTAAGCTGCGAAGTCCTTGATGATGTAGGTGCACAACCAGGTGTGTCTGTCCTCGTTGAACTTTATGTAAAATCGCCTGACTGCCGATCCCTCGTCTTAACTTGACAGGGGAGGTCTCTAACTGAAGAAAGGCAGTCTAATCATGAATGTTCAGGTTAACTGGACTGTAATGAGGCTTGCTTTCGTTCACTGATATATAGTTGTCACTTGTGGCGTAAGTCTTGAACTGTGAATAGAGATCGACCTCTGTGTAGGTCGTTGTCCCTCATGGTCCAATCAGAACAAGGCATTTTGATTCTGTATAATACCAGCTGTGATGTCACGGTGTAGCGGGAAAAACCCACCTTGAATAAATTCTTGTCGTCGTTGATATTAGCATAAGCGTCGGTCTTCACCGTAGCTTCGAAGTTATCCGGTGACCCGCGTGTTTGAGGGTTAATGGTAACAGCTTGAAACCTCCGGTATGAAAAATCTCGCTCTGTAATTTTATGCTGGGTAGGTTATTTTCCTGGTTGTCGTGAAAGTAATTTCAGTTTTGAATATAATTCCGACTTCCTTATATATAAGGGTATAAACAACTTGCAAGTTGTGAGCTTGTAGACTGTATACATGAATGTATCGTCATAATTGTAGAATTAGCGTTGAACTTGTACATATTTCTTCTCAGAAACTTTTGCGATTAAGAGTTATACTCGCTGTAACAAGGCTGCTGTTCAATTTCGATATTGAATTGTCTGCAGATATGCGTAATGGTCGCATGTAGATAATCGTATCGTCGTCGGGATTGTATATTAGCAATTTATCACGGAATAGTTGATTTCTGTGAAGATCTATGAAATGTCGTTGACTAATAATACAGCGGCGTTCTGTGTTGTAAATAGCCTGAGCAATTATCTTAGCGTAGGCTTATAGGCGGCATCTGGCATACAGTTGATAATCAACTTATGCGGCGTCTTGAAACGGACTGGCGCAGTAGCTATATATGGCGAGTGGCTAGTATATGGAAACCTTGGAGGAGACTTCCTCGGTGAGCGCCCGGAGACTTAGCGAAGTTCTCGAAGTATCCCTTCTAGATCTTCTGGGTGAAGTAGACTTGGAGCCACTTAGCCTTAGCGACCATCGCGAAGGTGTCGAATCAAAGCCGATTAGTATATATATATATATATATATATAAATATATATATGGCTTGCCGTGAACAGCCTCTGTGTTTAACAGGATGTGGGATCGTGGCGCTTGCCTAAATAGGGCGCATGGATCATCTTATCATATTCAGAAGTGGAGTATTCACGAAGTCTGGTGATAAGTGTCTAATTGATCGTTCTAGATCTATTTAGGCCAGCGAACATCACGTCTCGTCATGGATTCAACAGAACCAATATCACGATTGTAGTTCTTATACTTGATATCGATGATCAACTTGTCTATGGGTTGATCTTCTCGGAGACTTGTGAGGAGCGTTGATAGTTTGTGAAGCTCTTGTATAGTCCCTCGATGTCCTTCTAGATGATGATGATCTGGATTCAGGTGTCCTTGGCATGCCTTAGCGAAGCTTCCTCTGCGTCGGTCGAGGAGCGGCGATATGACCTTCAGCGAAGGCTTCCGTGATGTCTGATGGTCGAGTCCACATCTAGGGATGAAACGCGCCAAAAGGTGATGATCTATCCTGCCTTGCGCGAAGTCCGAAGGCTGTATCTAGGTTCTTTCGCCTTAGCGAAGGCTGTACATCTAGGTCCTTTCCGCGCCGAAGGCCTTAGCGAAGCTGTACATCTAGGTCGCCGTCAAGGTGGTCCGTGACTTCCCAGCGAAGGTGACATCGTCCTGGCTGCTCGTTGGCGGGGGTGCCTCTGGGGTGCTGTCACGTTGGAGAGCCAGCGAAAACTTCGGACCCTGCTACGCGCAGATATTGGTCCTCCATGATGTTCATAATTTGTCGCATCATGTCTTCTGGGATGGTCTGCGGCGAAGTGCGTCGGTGCTTTATCTGCGGTGTTAATGGAGGGTCCACGGGAAAATCGTCCGACATCAGTGTAGAGGCATCAGGCTGCATGGTGATCTCTGCTGATGTCGTTGTAATAATCACCGGTCGTTTCTTGTGGCGTCGTCGGGGATGATGATCAGCTGATCATCGTAGAGGTCCAGGTCATCGGCTGGAACAATCTCGGTTGAGAAAGTCCTAGTAGACCGTTGATTTTCCCTCAGAGGTCGGCGCTGCCCTGGGTGTCGCGGCGTCTGCGTTGAGTGTTAGTAATGATGGGACCCTCAGGGGCGATCGCGCATATCTGCGTTGGTACATCAGGCTGCATGCTGATCTGTGCCGACATCGGTCAATCTTTGATGTACATCGGTATGATGACCGGCTGATCATCATACAGGCCCAAAACCCGATGGGAGCGGTCACCGGTTGTTGAGATGTAGTAGAAAAACCCTCTAGTCTTCTGCTGCGGCGATGGGATGTCTGGGGAAGCAGGATGCTTCTTGGAGATGGCGGACTCGTCCACACCTCTCCACCACTCTAGCGGAACACCACACGGGAGAAGTGGCCAACAGCAGTAGACTGGCGAGGGTTCGGTGTATCAGTCATACTAGACTCTGCATGCAGCGACCTATCTGCTGTCGTGCCAAAGCGCCAAAGTAAATATTAATAAAAGGTAGAATTGGATAAATTAGTACGCAACTGCAATGTGAATATAATAAACATGGCCGTACATCATATTAAAGGCGGATCAGCAGCAGCATAAAAAGCGTAATCTGCAATAGTACAGAATTTTCATCAAGCGTAATCCACTGAAACAAACCGCGGCGTCCATTGACTAAACTGTAGAAAAGCGACTAAATATCAATATATAATCGTTGAAGGATACTAGCTAAACCTCTATAGATGTCTATCACGAGGGTAACTAACTAAATATAATTCAAAGGATATAGTGTGTCGGGGAGACACAAGCTCTCGTCCAGCTCACTGGGCGAAGAAGGAAGAGTGAGGCACATGGGTAGAGGTGAAAGCCCTCGTTCAGCTTGTGGAAAGGAGGTAACTTCGTGGTGAATACTAATTAGTGATTTTAAATTGAAGGGGCTTCAATTAGGGAGATACAAGTGTTCCACTATGTTAGCAAGAAGAAGAAGACAAGCAAAAGAGCATGAGTCAGGATAAGGAAAAATAAAGCTTTTACGAACAAGATTAGATTACTATTTTGAGCCAAGGTTGATTGTTGTTTAATGTCATATTCAGCAGTATTCCAGCTATATCAGTAAAAGGCATCGGACTTTAAATAATAAAGTCTGGACCAGACAATCCAGTGATCAATATCATGAGCATCGATCTACGCTATTGGGATACGATGACGTGTCAACCAAGTCAGCAAGTCTGACCACCCGATCCTGTCAGTTGCCTCTTACGACAAGCTTATGTAACTGAAGATCAATTCTAACCCGGATCTTCACGGGTGTTGAGCCAAGGTATGATGAAAGGTAATGCTTTCAGGGTGACCTCTGATCCATTTAGTCTTACAAGCACAGGGCACAGTGGCACACAGTCAGCCAGGTCATACACCGTCACCACCTTGTGTCACCAGTCCGCATAGCATGTGACTTCACACGCCCCCTCCCACCTTCCCTCATGGTAGGGCACTGAACACTTCAGACATCACTCACCATCAAGAGCTTCCAGGGCAAAATACTGTACATCTATATCTGAATCAGACTTCAGTTTGTCTAGACAAGGTTTGATCTGCTGCTGACACGTCCTGCAAACACAAACATTGGCACTAAGTAACTGTTGACAGACAATCCAGTGATGGATGTAATGAGCTGCCACCATGTTCAGGGTTCGACACTCATGCTTGTCCGCTTGGCCGTGGCAAGTACTAATTAATCAGGGCAAGTAAAATTGCTAAAAGGCTTGCCCGAGTGGCAAGTACATATTTTTTCAACTTCAAACCTCAATTCATTCATTAAAACTCTTCACTTGCTGTGTTTTGTTTGTCTAGTTCTTTCTATGCCATAAGTAACATGGGGCAAGTAGTATCTGTGATGGGCAAGTAGTTTAACTTTTCTACATGCCCACTTGGCAAGTGGGAGAAATCAGTGAGTGTCAAACCCTGATGTTGTGGGAGCACATCAACACTATTCATTCACACATAAATTACATCAAGGGTTCATCTGCATGTCTGCTTCTGTTCCAACAAATTGGTGAATAAAACAAAATGGATTTTACAGCGAACGGACACCGCATACCAGGAATATCATGATCACCACCATATTGAGGGTTCCAACAATTCTTTATCCCTACGGATAATGAACCTAGAAAGACAAGCTACCAGTTTAAAGGCACTATATCACACCACAATTTATTCCCAAAAATTCATGCGTCTAAATTACAACATTAAATTAAAAGGTTTGAATGAATAAATGAAACCAGTTCGGCAAACACTGTCAACCCTGCGTGCGATGTTTTTGATGTACATAGCAGTTGTTTACATTCCATATATGGCAAGTGTTCTCTGTTTGGAAGCTGTTCGCTTCGAAGTTTCAATTATTGATTTCAGGCAAGTCATAAGGGACAGTAAGTTTTTTATTGCATCAACAGGAAGCTAAAGTGAGTGCATATGCCCCAATATGTATAATAAAGGCAAAAATATTGTCGAAAATGTGTGATATTGAGCCTTTAAGTACCAGGCTGCATCCTAATTGTTGGACCCCAAGAGTGGTTAGGTAATGCATTGACAAAATAGGGGGAGACAACTCAAAACAGCCACACACTCCACACCAGGGTCTCGATCCACAGAGCATTCGTAACCTTACCTGGCGTAACTCTATAGCTTATCACAGGCTTACGAATACCGTAGTGCTACAAATGCTTCATGGATCTGGACCCTGACCATCTGGTTTGTGACTTAATATTACTAGTCAATTCTGAATTAGGTGGCCTTGGAAAGATCAGCGATTAAGTGCCTATATAATAAAAAATACACCTAAAAAAACCCACCAGTAATCAGATTATTAGATTCAAATAGTTTTGGCACAGGCCTTTAGCACTTGGAACACAGGTTACATGTCAGTTTGACTTCATTACTTTGTGTTGGTAAGAAGTGACAATGACAACTTACGACTGGTCAAATAAAGGTCCTAATTTCTGTAATGTTTTGGCGACGTTGAATCTGACATTAGCGACTGCGTCTCCTGCCATTCCAGTGACAGTGGGTAGCATGAGCTTCAGAGTGAGATCCGACCCGCAAGCCTCTGACAATAACTGAAAAAAAGACATGGGACTCATTCAAGGATATTTGCACTTCATAAAAATGATCCCAAAGTGTTTTACCAATAACTGGTTGTCGTGCATACTAAGCTGAAGTTGTTTAATGACACACTCAGGAATCTTCCAAAAGAGTTAAATATTCTGGGACAGACAATCCAGTGATCGATATTATGAGTAGCCATCAATGCTGTGTGAGCAACACTTCGACAACCCAATCCATTCAGTCACATATCCACCATGTCGTGTACAGGTTCCTAATTCAGCTTGTTACAGCTAGCAATAGGGTCGGGGGTAGGGTAGGGGTGGATGTCATTGGGGGTGGCAGATGGTAGGGGTGAGGAAGGATTGGGTGTGGTGGGGTTGTTGGACATGAGGGGACGGATGGTAGGGGAGGGAAGAGGACGAGGACAAGGGGTGGGGGTTGAGGACATGGCAGATGGTTTGGGGTGGAGGAAAAAGGGATCGGGGGTGGGGTTGGAATGATTCATGGCATGGGGGTGGAATACATGAGGATGAGGCATCAAGGTACTCACGTTAATACAGAATAGACAGGTCATCCTGTGTAGGTAGTTCTGGTCCCGAGCCATCTGAAGGACTTTGGGGATGACTGTCTGCTGGGCCCAGTCCACTCCGAACTTTTCCACCAGCTTCTTCAGGTTTTGTGTGGCTGCATCACGGATTGCGTACACTGAAGGTGAAAGATAGCAGCTTGTTAGCAGCTTGTTACCCTAGTCTTTCAGATTAGTTTATTTCTTCAAATCTTTCAAATCACTGGAAATAATTCCAACACGAGCTTTTACTTCAAGCATACAAGCTGTGTTGAAGTGAGATGAGGTGAAATGGGGTTTAACGTCGTACTTAAGAATATTTCGCTCATGTGACGACATGCATGCTTGTGTATGTGTGGCTGCTTGTACTAGCCTGACATAACGTGGTTTTATTGGGCTAGTTCACTGAGATACCATGCTGCAGTTAAGCATGAATACTCCACTAAGACACAGTATACTGACTCCGAGCCGACTAGTCCTTGTTTTACCCATTAATGCTGAGAGCCAGGCAAGGAACAAAATTTAGTACTGAAACGAAGCAGGACCCATGACCACATGAAGCAGTGTGTTTTGTTATGAATACTGCCACCAAAACTTACCATGGTCCACCAGCCATGTCATGCACAGCGAATTTAGCTTCTCGTCAAAGAACTCCACACCCTGGAAGCAGAAACAGAATGTTACGGTTGACGTACGGTTGTCGTTGTCTTCAAAGCAGCACTCACAGCAATATTCCACAATGTGTGACAAGGCTAGTAAATAATTATGTGACTGAAAAGCTGGCAGCAATCCAGTTACACATTTTCCAGTTGACCATAAAATATTTTGTGAACTCATGATGGTAAGTAACATTAAGAGTGACACCAGAAATGGGCGTCACACATTGTACCTATGTGGGGAATCGAACCTGGGTCTTCAGCTTGACAAGCATAACACTAAGAAAGAGATGAAACACTAGTCCAGTTTGAATGAGTGAGTATGGTTTTGTGCTGCTTTTAGCACTATTCCAGCAATATCACAGCAGGGGACAACTGAAATGGGCTTCACACATTGTACCCACATGGTCAATTGAACCCGGGTCTTCAGCAAGCGAACAGTTTAATGACTAGGCTACCCCCAACGCCCCTATTCAGCAAGGACTGACAGACAAAGACGATAATTCCTGTCACAATCTGGACCATGTCAGTCAGTCCTATTCAATGTCATCACTGAAGTTACAACCAAGTGTTGGAGATACTCACAAGTTGACCGGCCAGGAGGGGCATGTACTCAATGATGGCGAGGCGGACACGCCACTTGGTGTCCTCCGCCAGCTCCACGATGGCGGGCAACAGGGACTGAGACAGCTGGGCAATGCCGATCACCTCGTTGACGCAGTCCAGGTTAGAGATGATGTTGAGTCTCACCTCGGGGCACTCATCCTTCAGTTGGGACAGGAACAGTGGGAGCAGGTGTTCTATTGTGCTGCAACACAGATGGGGAACATCAAGTCACTCATATAGATATGTAATACAGGTTGGGGGAAGGAAGGGGGTGTCACATACAAGTAGTCCTGGACTGACTGACTGACTGAGTTTGGTTTTACGCCGCTTTTAGCAATATTCCAGCAACATCACGGCAGGGGACACCAGAAATGGGCTTCACACATTGTGCCCATGTGGGGATTCGAACCCGGGTATTCGGCGTGACGAGCCAACACTTTAACCATTAGGCTACCTCACCGGCCGGTAGTCCTGGAGCGACTGATCAATTAATCAGTCAATCAAATGATCTCTTTCCTTTTTTTTATTTTTATTATCATTATTACTAATAATGGTACATAGCACTTCATGTTTCATCAAAAATAATACATGCAACTTAACACATATTACAGTTGATCAATTATTGATGCTGTTATTAATGTCCTGAGATTACAAACGAAGAGGGCGGGGAAAGCGAGAGATAAGGGAAAGTGAAAGGGTGCAGAATAGAGAAACTCACTTTGCTAATTTGAAACTTAGTTGTCTTGGAGGAGGCATAACCATTTCATTCTAAAATCAGAGTGGTCTTCCCAGTACAATCAAACAATCTCGCTTGCTTCAGGGATCATTTATGAGCTCGGGAGACTAATCGATATTCACAAAATGAAACATCAAATTCAACTCAAATTGAATTAAAGTTTGTGTGCTTTTAAGTTTTGTTTGTTAAAGCCATAGAGATGCATTGAGCTAACTGTCCAGGCAGAATATTTCCCATGTTTAACTCCACACTCATATTACTGTTTGTTTCTAGTAATTGTTTAACTCCACACTCATACTTGTCTTTGCCTAGTATGGTGGAGACCCATGATGATGGAGGCTAGAGCAGACTCACTTGTCTTTGCCTAGTGGATCGGGAGAGACCCATGATGCAAGCCTGACTATCTAGTATCGGGAGAGACCCATGATACTGGCTAGAGCAGACTTACTTGTCTTTGCCTAGTATCGGGGAGAGACCCATGATGACGGAGGCTAGAGCAGACTTACTTGTCTTTGCCTAGTATCGGGGAGAGACCCATGATGACGGAGGCTAGAGCAGACTTACTTGTCTTTGCCTAGTATCGGGGAGAGACCCATGATGACGGAGGCTAGAGCAGACTTACTTGTCTTTGCCTAGTATCGGGGAGAGACCCATGATGACGGAGGCTAGAGCAGACTTAACATGTTGGTTGGCATCAGAAACCAGGTCCTTGACGCAGGGAAGGATGTTGGTCATGATGATGTTCTCGCGAACATCTGGGGACAGATTCTGGCAGAAATCTGAAACACAACAGTCATCGTAATGAGGTAATCAGCTGCATGAACCAAGAAAAGCATTTACATTTAATACAAGAGGAAGTCGTGATAAAGAGCTAAGACCAACTACTTATGTTTCCAAATATGCACACTCAAAATGTTACTACATCTACTCTTTCCAGCACTACTTTTTGGGCACATACATCTCTAAGTTCAGGTATTCTTAACATACATGTCATTGAGTGAATGAGCGAGTGAGTGAGTTTGGTTTTACGTCGCTTTTAGCAATATTCCAGCAACATCACGGCGGGGGACACAAGAAATGGGCTTCACACAATGTACCCATGTGGGGATTTCGAACCCGGGTCTTCGGCGTGATGAGCCAACGCTTTAACCACTAGGCTACCTCAACGCCCCTACGTGTCATTTCCCTACCTATTTAATGGCCCTTTCCCACCTGACCTACCTTTGACTTTATGAGCTGATGCAGCCCTGACCTCAGCCTCACAGTCCTTCAACAGACTCTGGAAGGCTGGAACCAGGTCGTTCTTGGTGATCTCAGGACCCACCGCCTTCTGGAGCTGCAACACACAGGGAGATATTGGTCAGTAAAGAGTGAGGATAGGGTGAGTGTACTTGACAGGACATGGGTATGTACTGACACTGGCCATGGGCACTGGGCATGTGGGGGTTGGGTGGTGAGTGTACTTGGCAGGGCATGGGTATGTACTGACACTGGCCATGGGTACTGGTCATTTGGGGGTTGGGTGGTGAGAGTACTTGGCAGGACATTGGTATGTACGGACACTGGCCATGGGTACTGGTCATTTGGGGGTTGGGTGGTGAGTGTACTTGGCAGCACATGGGTATGTACGGACACTGGCCATGGGTACTGGTCATTTGGGGGTTGGGTGGTGAGTGTACTTGGCAGGACATGGGTATGTACGACACCGGCCATAGGTACTGGTCATTTGGGGGTTGGGTGGTGAGTGTACTTGGCAAGACATGGTTATGTCACGGACACTCGGCCATGGGTACTGGTCATTTGGGGGTTGAGGTGGTGGAGTGTACTTGGCAAGACATGGGTATGTACGGACACTGGCCATGGGTACTGGTCATTTGGGGGTTGGGTGGTGAGTGTACTTGGCAAGACATGGGTATGTACGGACACCGGCCATGGGCAGTGGTCATTTGGGGGTTGGGTGGTGAGTGTACTTGGCAAGACATGGGTAAGCACGGACACCGGCCATGGGCAGTGGTCTTTGGGGTTGGGTGGTGAGTGTACTTGGCAAGACATGGTTATGTACGGACACTGGCCATAGGTACTGGTCATTTGGGGTTGGGTGGTGAGTGTACTTGGCAAGACATGGGTATGTACTGACACTGGCCATAGGTACCGGTCATTTGGGGGTTGGGTGGTGAGTGTATTTGGCAAGACATGGGTATGTAACGGACACCGCCATGGGCAGTGGTCATTTGGGGTTGGGTGGTGAGTGTACTGGCAAGACATGGGTATGTAATGGACACCGCCATGGGCACTGGTCATTTGGGGTTGGGTGGTGAGTGTACTTGGCAAGACATGGGTATGCACGGACACTGGCCATGGGTAGTGGTCATTTGGTTGTTGGTTGATGAGTGTACTTGGCAGGACATGGGTATGTACCGACACTGGCCATGGGTAGTGGTCATTTGGGGGTTGGGTGGTGAGTGTACTTGGCAAGACATTGGTATGTAATCGACACCGCCATGGGCACTGGTCATTTGGGGTTGGGTGGTGAGTGTACTTGGCAAGACATGGGTATGTACTCGACACCGGCCATGGGCAGTGGTCATTTGGGGTTGGGTGGTGAGTGTACTTGGCAAGACATGGGTATGTACGGACAATCGCCATGGGCACTGGTCATTTGGGGTTGGGTGGTGAGTGTAACTTGGCAAGACATGGGTATGTAATCGACACCGCCATGGGCAGTGGTCATTTGGTTGTTGGGTGATGAGTGTACTTGGCAGGACATGGGTATGTCACGGACACTGGCCATGGGTAGTGGTCATTTGGGGGTTGGGTGATGAGTGCAATTTGGCAAGACATGGGTATGTACGGACACCGCCATGGGTACTGGGCATGTGGGGGTTGGGTGGTGAGTGTACTTGGCAAGACATGGTTATGTAATGGACAATCGCCATGGGTACTGGTCATTTGGGGGTTGGGTGGTGAGTGTACTTGGCAAGACATGGGTATGTACGGACACTGGCCATGGGTACTGGTCATTTGGGGGTTGGGTGGTGAGTGTACTTGGCAAGACATGGGTATGTACGGACACCGGCCATGGGCACTGGTCATTTGGGGTTGGGTGGTGAGTGTTCTTGGCAAGACATGGGTATGTACGACACCGCCATGGGCAGTGGTCTTTGGGGTTGGGTGGTGAGTGTACTTGGCAAGACATGGTTATGTAATGACACCCGCCATGGGTACTGGTCATTTGGGGTTGGGTGGTGAGTGTACTTGGCAAGACATGGGTATGTACTGACACTGGCCATAGGTACTGGTCATTTGGGGTTGGGTGGTGAGTGTACTTGGCAAGACATGGGTATGTACGGACACCGCCATGGGTACTGGTCATTTGGGGGTTGGGTGGTGAGTGTAATTTGGCAAGACATGGGTATGTAATGACACCGCCATGGGCACTGGTCATTTGGGGTTGGGTGGTGAGTGTACTTGGCAAGACATGGGTATGTCTGGACACTGGCCATGGGCAGTGGTCATTTGGGGTTGGGTGATGAGTGTACTTGGCAAGACATGGGTATGTCCTGACACTGGCCATGGGTAGTGGTCATTTGGGGGTTGGGTGGTGAGTGTACTTGGCAAGACATGGGTATGTACTGACACCGCCATGGGCAGTGGTCATTTGGGGGTTGGGTGGTGAGTGTACTTGGCAAGACATGGGTATGTAATGACACTGGCCATGGGTACTGGTCATTTGGGGTTGGGTGGTGAGTGTACCTGGCAAGACATGGGTATGTACGGACACCGCCATGGGCCGACACTGGCCATGGGTAGTGGTCATTTTGGGGGTTGGGTGATGAGTGTACTTGGCAAGACATGGGTATGTACGGATAACCGCCATGGGTACAGGGGCATGGGGTTGGTGATGAGTGTAATTTGGCAAGACATGGGTATGTACGGACACCGCCATGGGTACTGGGCATGTGGGGGTTGGGTGATGAGTGTACTTGGCAAAACATGGGTAAGTACGGACACCGGCCATGGGTACTGGTCATTTGGGGGTTGGGTGGTGAGTGTACTTGGCAGGACATGGGTATGTACGGACACCGGCCATGGGTACTGGTCATTTGGAGGTTGGGTGATGAGTGTACTTGGCAGGACATGGGTACACATTGACACAGGCCTGGGGTACAGGTCATTGGAAGGTTAGGTGTGAATTAGGCTGAGGTTGGGTGTTGAGTGTACTTGGACAGACATTGGTATGTACTGACACATGGGTATGTAATGATACTGGCCATGGGCACTGGTCATTTGGGGTTGGGTGGTGAGTGTACTTGGACATACATTGGTATGTACTGACACTGGCCAGGTGTACAGGTCATTTGGGGGATGGGTGGCGAGTGTACCTTGCAGGACACTGGTATGTACTGACACAAGCCCCTGTCAGTGACTTACAACCTGTCGACCACAACTACCACCAGTGTCCTATCAGTTCAAGCATTGAAGTAATGTAACAGGCATTGTTTCTCCGTGGGCTGTCAGTGACTTACGTCTGTGAACTTGTCGGCCACCATGTAACGGACCCTCCAGGACTTGTCCTCTGCGGCTTGACGGAGGGTGGGCATGACCAGCTGCTCCGTGTCATCGGGCGGCAACAGGGAGGCAATGCTAACGCAGGCTTCTACAGCGAGAAGCCTTACCGAGTCCTGAAATATTATGTTCTTCAGTTTGTATGAAATACAGCAACATGCGAGAGTGTGGCGCAAACACAGCACAGTCAAGAAACAAAAGTCACAATATCAGTGATTCACTGGGCAACTCAATAACTTAGGTGAAATTAATCATAAAATATATGTTAAACATTGAAACGAATCAAACAAAATAATCTTTAATAATCCTGCATAAGACCAACATATATTACATTGAGAGCATCATGACTTCACTCTTGAATCCAGCTATCACAATAACAATTATCTACCACAGATAAATGCATAAATGTTTAACAATAGCATTAAACTGGTATTAATAAAAAATTAGATCAGATAATAAGTTTTATAAGCAACAGTACAAAAATTACTGTGGAGCAGAAAGAGGCACATATAAAGTTCAATATTATTATGCAAAAGCAATCAAAACTCAAAACATGAACAAAAGTGTTGTACCTGGTAAAACAACTTACTTATTAATAGTACATATGGGCAATCATCATAATTAAAGAGAATTATCAACATAGCTGAGAGAGAGTGAGTGAGTGAGTATGGTTTTACGCCGCTTTTAGCAATATTCCAGCAACATCACGGCAGGAGACACCAGAAATGGGCTTCACACATTGTACCCATGTGGGGAATCGAACCCGGGTCTTCGGCGTGACGAGCCAACGCTTTACCCACTAGGCTACCCCTAGAGAAAGAACAACTTGAAATAAAAATGAAGGTTAAGATTTGTGTCCTTGAATAATCCTGAGAAACACATATATCAAGGGTGAACACTATCTTAGACCGCAGGTTGTATGTACTGCTCCATGCGTGAGACCTAGTCAACCAAAACATTGGCAGTGTTTAGCCAATCTGGAACAAGGGTGCCATGACACTGTCTCAACCTGGTACAAGGGTGCCATGACACTGTCACAGCCTGGTACAAGGTTGCCATGACACTGTCTCAACATGGTACAAGGGTGCCATGACACTGTCACAACCTGGTACAAGGTTGCCATGACACTGTCTCAACCTGGTACAAGGGTGCCATGACATTATCACAGCCTCATACAAGGTTGCCATGACACTGTCTCAACATGGTGCAAGGGTGCCATGACACTGCCACAACTTGGTACAAGGTTGCCATGATGCTGTCTCAACCTGGTACAAAGGAGTCACGACATTGTCTCAACCTGGTACAGGGGTGCCATGACATGGTTTCAAAGAGGTACAATGGTGCCTGACACCACCTAAACCTGGTACAAGGGTGCCATGACTCTCTCCCTCAGCTTGGTGCAAGGGTGCTATGACACTTTCAACGTGGTACAAGGGTGCCATGACACCTTCTCACCCTGCAACCAGGGAGCCACTAGAAACCAATGACAAAAGTGAAGCAGAGTGAAAGGCACCTGTTGCAGCTGTGGTACAAACATCAATAAGCAGAGACAATACTGACCTCAGTCACAATCTATAATTCTTGTGGTGAGTAAACTTTGACAACAGTGACAAACAAGCAGGCGTGAAGACAGCAGTCACTGAATTACAACACCTATATGTAACTGTTACAACTAACACATTAACCTCTCTGTAACCCTACTGCAATAACTGACCAACAAACACACAACAATATCCAGAACTACATTGCCCACTGGGTATGTCTGCACTAGATGTATATGTACTGATACATTAAAAAACCTCTGTCAGCATGAGAATAAATGTAGTACCTTTATTTATAAAATTAATGAACGTTCAAGTGAGATGAACTGTGACTTGCTGTCAAAGCTGTACAAAGCCAAGGCTAGAAAAGAAAAGAAAAGAGAGTAGTTACCAAGTTGTCTCCCCTTACCTGCTCATCCTGTGCTAGTGTAGTGAAGAGGGGGATGAGCTCAGACTTGAGGTACTCAGTCTCCACCACCTTGGCAAACTCCCCCAGTTTCCCCGCCGCTGCACGACGCACCATGGGCGTATCATCACCGCACAGGTTCCGGAAGTGCCTGAACATAGACGACAAACGTCACTAAAAGAAAGACTGTCACCAGGATATTATCGAAATATTCTTTGTCTGCTTTCAATATTGGTCAGTATATCTATAGTTCAGTTCCTACAACATTGACATCCAAATATTGTGAGGTGTCCATATTCCATGAACGTTGGACATTTGATCAATTAAGGCATTCCGACCCCCCCATCTCCATACAAAACGTTCTTGTATGCAAAATTGTTAATCACTGTACAGGATGCAATGATAATTCTTTTTATTAGCTGACCTGTCATGGCAGCTTTTTTCTGAGATCATTGATAAATATGTTTTAGTATATAATACAAGAAGTCGACTTACTGTCTGAGATCGGACTTGACACTGTTAGACACACGTGGATAGCAGACAGAGAACAGTCCGCAGGCTGACGTCCTTGATGTGAACCAATCTCCTGCGAAGGTAAACAACTGAGATTTCAGTATTTGCCACATATACCATACACAAAACACGAACATCATTATTATCGAGTTAAAAGGGCATATTTTCAGTTAAATGTACATTTGTGATCTACCTAATAGCCACTTTTCAGGACTCTATTTAAGAGATGCTAACCTACTTGCACAAGGTGCAACCTAAGATAAACACCTAGTTGCACCAGGCAAATTCCAGTTGCACTGCTTTTATTGCAATATGTAATGCAAGAAATATACTTTTGAATTATTTAGATGTTTTATTCAGAGTTTACCCACTCATAAATTGGTGCAAGTTAGACTAATAACGAGGTTTCACATTGTAACATTGGGTTGCACCAGTGCAAGTAACAAAGCCCTAAATCGAGCCCTGCATTTGTATTCTCAATTTGGCATATTTTCCTTGACAGGTGTGATATTCAGCCCACCTGGATTAGAAATATACCCAGGTGGGACAGTAAAACTATGTAAAGGGTTGAGTTCTCTGTAGATCACCACAAATAACAAAGTAGAAAGCAACTCTGAATTGGAGGAGTGTAAATGCAAATCAACTTCTAACCTCAGTGATCCTAGCTATCTGATTCAAAGTCCCATCCTTGGAAGATCCCTTGCTAGTTTGCTGGCCAGCCAGCATAGCCATGCCATGATGCTAGACATGGAATCACTTGCTTGTCATATAACATAGGCTGATCAGACTTTATATTTCCAAAACTTGTTGGGTACAATGCATACAATCTCAAGCAAGCCTGAGTCACCAGCTAGTACAATCTATACAATCTCAAGCAAGCCTGACTCACGACCTAGTACAATCCATACAATCTCAAGCAAGCCTGACTCACCAGCTAGTACAATCGATACAATCTCAAGCAAGCCTGACTCACCAGGTAGTACCATCTATACAATCTCCAGGGGGCCGGACTCATCAGTAAGTACAATCGATGCAATCTCAAGCGAGCCTGACTCACCAGCTAGTACAATCGATACAATCTCCAGGGGGCCGGACTCACCAGCAAGTGCCATCTATACAATCTCCAGGGGGCCGAACTCACCAGTAAGTACAATCGATACAATCTCAAGCAAGCCTGAGTCACCACCTAGTACAATCAATACAATCTCAAGCAAGCCTGACTCACCAGCAAGTACCATCTATACAATCTCCAGGGGGCCGGACTCACCAGCTAGTACCATCTATACAATCTCAAGCAAGCCTGACTCACCAGGTACTACAATCTATACAATATCAAGCAAGCCTGACTCACCAGGTAGTACATTCGATACAATCTCAAGCAAGCCTGACTCACCAGCCAGTACAATCTATACAATAATATAGCAAACTCACCAGCTGACAGCCTCTTCAGTAGTGGGACGAAGTGGTTCTCCAGGTCTGCGGGCGAGTGCTCGGCGGCGATCTGTCGCAGCGAGTCCACTGCCTTGTCTCTCACCACAGTCTCCTCTACAGTGGCCAGGCTCTCTAGTGGGGGCTTTGGGAGAAGACGATAAGCATCAGCACCACTTACAATTGTTGCAGACATCATCAAACCCTACCTAAACTAAGTATGTTCAAAATAGGACTCCATCATAGAGATGGCATATACCCAGCTAATGATTTTAAAAAGTGTAGACACATACCATTTGTGTTAATTTCATGACCTTGACCTTTCAATTTTTCATGTTATTTTCAAATGGATTCCCCTTGACCATTAATGTTGAGACTGAAAATCAATCCAATCCATGTAAGAGTGAGTGTGTGAGTATTGTTTTACTCCGCTTTTAGCAATATTCCAGCACTATCACGGCAGGGGGAACACCAGAAATGGGCTTCACACATTGTACCCATGTGGGGAATCGAATCTGGGCCTTCGGAGTGCCGAGCGAACACTTTAAACTACTAGGCTACCCCACCACCCCAATCAAATCCATGTAAGAACCTCATCAGGCTCATGACATTTTCAAAACATCTTGTTACATGGATAATCATGAGCTGAACGAACTTCATTGGAATCTCTTTAGGTTCAGATTCATAAATATAAATTCAGCTCATAAACTCACATCTGGTAAATATTTATTTTTCTCAACTTTCGACTGTCGCTGCAGTTTGGGAGAATCAGAACGTTTGGAAGCCGATGTTTTCTTTTTGGTACTGCCTCCTCTATCCAATGAGCGTACAGGCAGTGGGGGTGAATGAGGGTGTGGCTTAATCTGATTGAGCAGGAGAGACAGAGATTGGGGGAGAGGCTTCGACTGCCGAGATGGAGATGTAGAGTCACTCTGTTTTCTTTGCAGAAATCCATCGTCCATGGATTTATGTTTAGTCAGCTTGGACTTGAACTCGAATTTGGGTACATCTGGCAAAGCTGGGACAGGTGTTGTCCCCGGGGCCATGTTAAAGTAGTTGTCTTGCACCATGTAGAAGGCCCCTGGACACGCTGGCAGAGTGTACACAGGGACACACCAGCCGTGGCGGGAAGGGGGTGGTGTCCCTGGGGCAAACGCTGGGGAGGGGCTGGATGTTGGTGGGGTCCCTGGTCCAGGCAAGGGGCAGTGATGTAACTGTGCAAACACAGGGGAGGGGCCGGATGGGGTTGGGGTTCCAGGGGCAAATACTGGGGAGCGACGGATTGGGGGTGGGGTTCCAGGGGCAAACAAGGGTGAGGGGCTTGACATAGCTGCTGCAGGACAAGCAGAGAGGGGAGGGATCAAGAGGAACAACTCAAGCAGGATCACAACGAAAACAACCAGGAATCGGAAAGGCTGTTGAGGTGACAGAAGTCAATGAAGTCTGTTTACTAACACTTGAATGTTCTCTGTTGTCACAAGAAGCACATGTTTAAGGTTCAGGCTAACAAAGTTGTTGGAGTACAGAAAGCTTTAAGTCACTGTGGTGACACTTATGTAAATACACCAATAGAAATCAGGCCTACTATAGCAGATAGCAGCCATCCTTATTCTCACTCCTGCATAGTCACCACAAGTTCTCCAGAATTACACGGAAACAGTCTCAGTCAATCACAGTCAGCATGTAAACCTAATACACTCAACACAAAGGGCTCTTCAAAATAACTTCAAATCTACAACCTGTACATCTCAAGAATTACACAAAATCAATATCAATGGATAACAAACTTTGCATAAACCAGTTCCACTCGACACAACGCTCAGTTCTCTTCCCAAAGACTGCAGTCCACAACCAAGACAACTCCAGAACAACGCAAAATCAGTGTAAGTTGATCACAAGCTCCTTGTAAACCAGTTCCACTCAACACAACGTTCTGTTCCCTTCAAACAACCTCTGCAGTGTACAAGCAGTTTAACTCCACAACTACGCCAAACCAGTGTCAGTAAACCACAAGGTCTGTGTAAACCACTTCCATTCAACAGAACGTTCTGTTCTCTTCAAAGCAACCACTGCTGTGTCCAAGAAAGATAACTACACAAAATCAGAGTCAGTAGATGACAAACTTGGTGTAAACCACATCCATTCAACACGTTCTGTACTCTTTAAAGCAAACACTTCAGTGTACAACCTATACAGCTCCACAACTACGCCAAATCCGAGTTAGTAGATCACGCGCTCTGTGTAAACCACGTCAACTCAACGACCTCTTCCCTTCAAACAACCACTGCAGTGTCCAACCAAGCCAGTAGTCTCCAGCGTCGTCATCACACTAATCCACTTCTGGGACCTCACCCAGTCAAGCAGCTTGGCCTGCACGGTCAATCAGTAGGCTAAGTTTGGACGCCAGATCAATAGCTGCACTTCACGGCCATCTTGATATTAAATGGTTATATAAACAGCTCCTCATTATTGTAAAAACCTTGGTGATAAAAGCTGGGATTCAGATCACTTCATTTCAAGGAAACTGACTACTTGCCATCCAAGATGTCCTGGAGAAATTTCCCAAGAGTTTGGATTTCCGAATTTTAAGACATTAAAATATTCTATTGGTATCAGTAACCTAACCAACTTAGACCTCAGGTGACTACTACATTCATACTGACACAAATAATCTTCAGGCAACTTTGGAAATTGAGCTGTGTACCCATAAGTGCCCTGGATCTGATTTCAACACTTTGTCACCTTTTTGTCAATGAATGACCCATGGCTGCTTTCATTGTGAACTTACCAGCAGACAGTGGACACACTCAGGGCCACCGACAAGTGGTGTGAACTGTCCCAGCTGCTCAGCCAGTGCCAATAACACCTCATCTTCGTCATATATCGTATCTGAAACAGAACCTCAAGTTCAACCAACTTGCACAATATCCCTAGGGAAGACATGGTATGAGCAGTCTGTGATGAAAAGTTAAATAGACTTCTTCATTCACAGAAAACAGTTGCTTATTTCCGATATTTCGGAATGTCATAATTACAATTTGACTTAACTTCACATGTCAACTCTACCAACAAGATGAAAGTATACAAATCCAAAAACTGTTTTTTTCTCTGAATGTGTTGCGATGTGTATTCATCAGAACTTCATTTTGTGATGAACCAGTAACTCTATACTAGTTGTAACGAAACACATCTTTATGGATCACAACTTCTTCCTTATTACTCTTAGCTTTATAACAGTGTGAGAATCTGCACCGAAATGTCGCTCTGTGCAATAAACAGGAAGTTGTTATCCATAAACTTCTAGAATGGGGATAAAACAATGTGGACTCCTAGGACTTGTATTAGCAAAACTTTCACAACAGAAACACATTTAGTGATGGAGAACAATATATGGATGAACAACTCCCTTATTACAGCGACATTTTGGTGTAGGTTCTAACACCGTTATCAAGTAAGTCATGATAACAATGTTAGGACCTACACCAAAACATCGCTCTAATATAGAAGTTGTTCATCCATGCCTTGTTATTCTTCCTTGCTGCTCCAACTTCTAAATGCCTCTCAAAGAAGCGTGACTAGACTAGGACTTTAGACTAATAGTTAATGTAGCAGATTCTACTAAGGGGGCAAATGTAAAATTTAGCAGGTAAGTCAAGGCATCCACGATGGGACAACAAACGTAAAAAAACCAGAGGATTTCTAGATTAATACACAACCATACAACAAAAAATTACACAATTCTATTAAAAAGCAAATTAACCAGTAGCATATTTACAGCAATGTTGCAGAGATTTTGGTTGCATGTATGGTGCTGACAAAGGATTCCAATCCCAACTATCTCATGGCATATCTTCATCAGTTCATCCAAAACAACTTCCCAGTCTCTCAATGAATGTGGAAATCAAAACCAGTCTTGCCCAACTTGAAGTGTGACAATTTTCACAGAAACAAATGATTCAGATCAAAGTCTGATAACCAAACAATCAGTAGACGTTTGAGTCAATTATGAAATAATATTCAATACAAGATAACAAATACTAAAGAGATGTCTTGAAGAGCTTTGTTGTATAACCATTCCAACTGTGTCATTCACGTCCATGTTCTTACTTATATCACACTTTAGGACAGTCTCTCGGATTGTTTGGTCACAATGTTCTATGTATCATGAGACGTCATGGTAGGTAACATTGATCAAAATATGGGCAGGCTTTTTAAGACTGACCATCTTGCCACTGTCCCTCTTATTGCAAAGCTGGCAAACATACTAAGCCGTGTACTGATTGGATATTGCCTAGCCACCTTACTAATCAATTGGTCAGTATTGCTGAAGTACTAGAAGGGAAGTAAATTCTATACCAACAACCAACTGTCAATAGTGCTATGAAGACAATCCAATGTCTGCATTATGGCACCATGAATGAAAGTATTTTAAGTTTTAACTTTTTATTACTGTTTGTTTAGTGAAATGAGGTGAGGTGAGGTGAAATTGGGTTTTACGTCGTGCTCGAGAATATTTCGCTCATATGACGATGTGTATGTGTATGTGCGGCTGCTTGTACCAGCCCAGACTTCAGCTGGTTTTATAGTGCTAGCCCACTGAGATACCATGCCGCAGTGAAGCATGAATACCCCACTCAGACACATTATACTGACTCTGAGCCGACCAGTCCTTGTTGTACAATTAATGCTGAGCGCCAGGCAGGGACCCACAAGTACCATATTTTAACGTCTTTTGGTATGACGCGGTCGGGGATCGACCTTCCGCTCTCCGGGCGGACGCTCTAACCACTACACCACGGAGGCGGTCTGTTTAGTGAAATGATTACAGTTGTTAAAAGTAAACAATCTAAGACTCAATATGTTTACTTAGCTTTGCCACTGTGATCCAAAACTGGAAAGTGATTTTTCACTTCCAGATACAATCACGCACTGATTTTTGTCCCACCCACCACTAATGAAACCGTGAGTAAATACTCAAATTACAATGTCTAAAGGAATTAGCTTGAGCCCTGAGTCCTGCTAATGTTTTCGAGATTTCACGACACACAGCTTAACACTGATCACACAGACACGAGCCTGAAAACAACTCATTAGAGGACTCCCGACAATTAGCCAGGAATCAATACAAGCTTATTGTGCTGCTGCCACAGAATGTTGCCCTTCACATGCAATGGAACATGGCTGCAGACAGGGCTGGCTATTGATTAAGTGTATTATCAGTATATCATTTTTTTGAAGTTCATTCTTTCAAACGATACGGATCACAATATTATTTTGAATGTTTAGTGTATCCACGATATGGATCACAATATTATTTTGGAGTGAGTGAGTGACTTTAGTTTTACGCCACTTTTAGCAATATTCCAGCAGTATCACAGCGAGGGACACCAGAATTGGGCTTCACACATTGTACCCATGTGGGGAATCGAACCCATGTCTTTGGCGGGACCACTAAGGTACCCCACTACCCCAAGCTAAAATGAATTTAGGGCCTTTTTAGGCTGTTATGTCCAAATTCAGTTTTTGTTCAAGCCTGAACAAACCCAGAACATATTGTATCTGTTATGCATGTGTAGTAAAGGCCTACAACGCACATTCTACAACTGGATTGTTGTATCTGAATTGTGGTTGATATGATACAAAAAACTGTTCTGTTATCTAACTGGTAATGAGACTGTCAAATCTATCAGTGGATAAAACACTGCCAGGTGACGAGAAACCGATATAATATATCATCACTGGTCTTAAGTCAAGGCCACCTGTAGCACCTCACCGCTAAAGCAGCACTGCCACAACATGGCTCGGAGAAATAAGTGATTTTGAGTTCAGTTTTACACCGCTTTTAGCAATATTCCAGCAATATCGCGGCAGGGGACACCATAAGTGAGCTTCACATATTGTACCCAGTGTTCATGAATGCTGTTTTAAAACAGCAGGACATTGGGTCCTGTTAGCTTATGATGTCTGTCTGACCCATTGAAATTCCCAGGACCCATACATTAAAATTAAACACACATTTCAGATTTAACATTTCTTATAATTGGCACTGAAATTTATTAACAGACATAAGACAGCAAACAAGTGTCACATGTCAAAAATAACAACTTCAGTCAAAGTCATTGTGAATTATACAATCAGACACTGGGGCCATCGGGTTGTAGACTTCTATCGGACCGTTGGCAAATCTGCCGGATTTGTCAGAGGGTCCGACGATATTCGTGAACATTGGGTACCCATGTGGGGACTCGAACCCAGGTCTTTGGTGAGACAAGCAAACACATTAACCACTAGGCTACCCCACCCACTAGTTGATAATTTAATTTACTGTATTTTATTAAAAAAATCGTATATTTTTACTGCTATCGTACTAGCGTATTTTTTGTTGTTGTTTTTCGTAACGAATACGATAAAATCGTATAGGTTGGCATCTCTGCACACTGTATGACACAGTGGCTCCTTAATTTATTATTGAATTGAAAGCCTGTCATACCATTTACACTGGAACCTTGTTTATCTGGAAACCTCACAAACCGGATAATATTGACATGAAATAAAATATATACAAGATTAAGTGCTCTATGTAGGCAGAAATTTAGCTTCTGGATCTGGACAGTGAATTTCAATTATCAGCAGTAGAAAATACACAGTACTTTGTAACACTCATCGACAAGCACAGTTGGTAATTTTAGTTTTGCAATTCACCAACTCCCACCCCCCGCCCCCCACATGCTGCATATTAAATGGGCGGCTTTCATGTGATCTGTATTTATCTAGCCATGCCATCAAACATACTAGTTATAAATTAATGTTCAGTACATATATGGATTTATGTTTATTAACGTTTTATATTTTAAAAAATGTATAAATTTCAATGAATGTTGTTGCCACTGATTTCAGCAAAATCACTGATCAAATAAATCACCAAAAATCACAAGCCTATTAATTCTATGTAAGCATTGAAATGAAAATTTGTTGATAATGGATCAATATATCACCAGTGTCACACTTTGATTCATTAGAAGTCATATTTGTTGAAGCATGAGAATTATTTTTCAACACAAGGCCACACTTATTTTATTACTTGCTTTACGGATCCTCTGACCATGGTCTTTGCTAAAGTGGAAACAAATTAATTCATTTTTACCATTTTTTAAATACCGCCGATAAATAAAATCCAAATAAATCATTTAAAAATCTACTTTATCGAAATAAAGTTTCTGTTATGATTTTAGCATTGTTGCAAATCAAAATTTAAATATTGAAACAAATTAAATCGCCAGGTTGAGGTTCTTTAGACCCTAACATAGTAGAAAATGAGAACACTGAATGGCTGATGGCATATTCTATTTTTCAAACAGCCTATCTGTAGTGAAAGCCACTTACAGATAAAAATATGAAATAGCATTATTTTTTTTTAAACTTACTGACAGGAGTACTGCTGTATAAAAATCTGTAAACCAAGTAATCAAAAAAAGTGAGGCCTAAAGAGCAGGAAAACTATGACTGATCGAGTGTCAAAACATATCTGGCAACAGCAATCAGCTGTACAAAATTGGTATGCTTCCCAATGTCAAAGTAGTTATATATTTAAGCCATGTTGTGAACTTCCTTGTGTCATAGTATTGTTTTATGTAACTGAATCACCAATAGATTGGGAGATGTGTCCAGCTGATTGTTATTTCCGCCTTGGTTTCGGTTTCAAATTTTACATATATTGACCAACTTTGTTATCACTCATTCCTTTGCATGAAACCACTATTTGAATTTTATAAAGTAACCGCTTGGTGCAATTATTAAAGAAAAGGAGGAGATGCAGGCATGGCTATTTGGACTGGATCAATCTCAGGAGGTGGACCAGATGAAGAGCCAGGAGCTACGAAGCGGATGGGCTGGAGTAGAGCAGGCGGCTGTATTTGGTTCCAGGCTGAGGTTATGGCCCTGATCATCATAGTTTTTAAATCCCGAAGTTGAGTGGAGCTGTAGGAGTGGAATTGTTATCAGGTTCCCATGACTCAGCGATGATCCTAGAGTGAGTGAAGGATTCTCAGAGAGCGTGTAGGCGGAACATCGTAAGAGACTGTAGGCCTATTAGTGGTATCAGAGCAATGATCACCCGAACGTCGATCAGAGGAACTGTATCGAGATCTCGATACCGAAGTAGGTTGGTAAGCCGGTGATCTGGATTCCCTAGTATGGCTAGGTGATCCGGTATGATATGAAGAACTAGTCCAGGTCACTGTAGTTCTAGTTGATCTGGTTCTGATTGGAGCTCTGGTTCGACCATCTGAATAGGATCGGCCATGAGATGTGGATCTGTACTGTGATCCCGACTGGTCAATGGCTCTGTAAGGTGATCTAGATCGTATAGGTGACCTGGGTTAGTAAGAGGATCTGGATTTGTAAAGTGATCTGGATCGATTCGATGCACTAACTGGAAACTGTGATCGTGATCTGGATCTATAAGGTGATCTGGATCTATAAGGTGATCTGGATCTATAAGGTGATCTGGATCTATAAGGTGATCTGGTTTGCAGTTGCGATCTGGCTTGATATGGTGATCTTGATTGGTTAGGTGATCTACTTTGATGTTGTGATCTGGATCGGTCTGGCGATCTACTTCGATGTTGTGATCTGGATCGGTTAGGTGACCTAGATCGGTCCGGTGAACTGATTCGAGGTTGTGATCTGGATCCATTCAGTGATCTGGATCGGTCCGATGATCTACTTCGATGCTATGATCTGGATCGGCTAGGTGATCTGGATCGGCTAGGTGATCTGATTCGAAGTTGTGATCTGATTCGAAGTTGTGATCTGGACCCGTTTGGTGATCTGGATTGATCAGGTGATGTGGATCACAGTTGTGCTCTGGATCGTGACTGTGATCTGGATCGATTCCTGTGATCTTGATCGGGCTTGTGATGGTGATCTGGATCGCTGTGGTGATCTAGAATGATGTGGCGATCTGGATCGGTGATTCAGTGATGAAACCTGAAGTGTTGATTCATGATGAACGTCCTCCGGTGACGCTGTTGTAGCCAGCTCCGTCCAGTTCAATGAACTGTGGGGAGACAGTTGGCTGGTTGAACACGGTTGGCCAGGCTCCAAACAAACTGAGACAGTCGATGGGATATGTACCGATGACCTGGATGATGATAGTGTCGATCTAAGGTCCCCTGGTAGTATAGATGGGACAGGCAACGAAGAATTGTCGATCACAGCCACCCGCGAGGGATCTGACGCTATGGAAGGAGGTGATTGATGTGATAAGTAAGAATCTGATGAAGCGTCCATAAAATCCTCCTGAACCACAGACATCACTCTCTTGCGTGAAGGTACAATTTTCTGTCGGTGTAACTTGATACGCTTGGTGGGAGTGGGATCAGATCCTGTTAATTTCCTGTCCCTAACTGCGATTCTCTGGGAGCAAACACGAAGGTAGGCCCTAAAATCCTCATCTTTTAGTGAATTACACTTGCCACATCGTTTGTTCTAGTTATATTGTGCAATACAGTCACTGCAAGACGAGTGAGGGTCGAGGGACTAATAATTCGTCTTGCATTGAGCACAAACTTTCCTTTTCCTTGACTGATTATCAGTTTTCCCCACGATGTTAGTGTGAAATAATGTCCCTAATATACAGCACGTCCACACAGTCGTGCGACAAGAAAGAATGATCATTCAAGGTAGTCACGTGGGCAATTAGTGGAGCATGCTGCAAGCTTTAATAGGAACTCGGAAGCTAATTAAGGAGAGCAGCATGGAGTGCACAGGCGAATGAACAAGGAGGCCTATGGAAAAAAGTTTACAGTTGTTCCACTAAAAGTCGAAGCAAGAGAGAGTGGTGCTAGTCGTGAGATAGGATAAATTAAAAAATCATTTATGAAATTTTCCTGGTTATTTAGTTCTTTGGGTGTTTTTTTTGCAAATTGCACAAAATGCATTTGTAAATTTCACATCTTTAACGGATGACTAGTATGTTAGGAACAAAAATTTCTTGAAGTCTTTAAGATAAATTCAATCATGACATGGAACGAGCTTGTAGGGATTATGAAATGTAAATTTAATGAGAGACAAAACCAGCCTTGTGAAAAATATTATTAATGCAAACAAGTGTTCAAGAATTGTTTGTGTTCGATTATGAGAAAAAATGATCGATTGCTTGGTCGTTTAATCACTGCGACCAATCTTCGATTATTTCAATTAATCTGACCACCACTTCTAATTAGTACAGGTAACGGTCAACTTTCTGACACTACAGTATTAGTACAGGTAACAGTAAACCTTGCAAGTCACCTGTGAGGAAGGGAATGAGCTCGCTTCTCGTCCTCTCCACGCCCAAGGCCAACGCTATTGTAGACAGCTTCTTGATACTGTTCAGTCTCAGCTGGAACAGGAAGGAGAAATCATTAGTGTGACATAAATACTCGTTATGTCTGAAATACTTCAATACAGGATGTTTTTTATAAATATACATGATTGTCACATGCATAATATAAAACTTACAGATGTACTAAACAACTCAAGTGTCATGGTGATTGGTGACCCACAATATTTATTTTTTGGGGAGTCATTTTCAATATTTGTGAGTCTTAAAATGTTAGTGTAATATTTATGTGTGTATATCAAAAAGCAAGAGTTTTGCAAAGATTTTATTGTTTTGTGTTGTATTGTCATTTCTATGTTAGTTAATAAATAGTACATTTTTCACTGTTCAGTTCAGTCATAACAAACTCCAATATACTGAACAAATAAATCAGTATTGTGATTTATTCACTCTAACATACAGTTATTAACATGAAATGAAAGAAATATCTAAATTACAGAAGATATCACGAAAACTATCATTGTTTGCTTATCATACCGATATTATTGACTCTGAACTGAATTCTGAGGGTCACTCATAAAACTTGCTGACTCATATAATATTTTGAGAGTCTTTTACAAAATTGTTGCGTCAAATACGCAAGAAACATACATCATTTAAAACCCTGACAACTGGTTATGCCTGAGAATACAAGTATGTTTCATAACCACCATTTCCAAGTACACTTGTCATGTATGGTTTACAGAGTAAGTGAGTATGGTTTTACGCCGCTTTTAGCAATATTCCAGCAACATCACGGCAGGGGACACCAGAAATGGGCTTCACACATTGTACCCATGAGGGGAATCGAACCCGAGTCTTCGGCGTGATGAGCGAACGCTTTAACCACTAGGCTACCCCACCGCCCCGGTTTACAGAGACATTTGACAAAGTGAAAAAGAGTTAGTACTTGAACAGTTGTTGCGAGGACAGAAACAGTGTGAGGGTCATTTCTTCAGTTAGTCTTGCAATTCATTTTGACAGACATTTTCGTTAAGCTACAATGATTCATATATATATTAACATGTCAAAGTGTCAATCAAAATAATTCCTAGTCACCCTCACAGTAATGCTGTTTATGCATTCCATGGTCTTGGTTATTTCTTGATTAATGCAGTCCCATTTTCAATCAATAATAACTTTTTACAGTAACAGTGGCAAAAAGGTGTGTAATGACATGCTCATTTTGCCTTATTCTATACCCATACATCTTCTTACCGTTCTGTTTTCTGCTTTTCCCCAAAACACAGAAGCACCAATTAACATTTGTTCTAAGAAATCATGATCTGATTAATGCCTTGACAGTAATTTATTTGTCAGAGAATGGATGCACATCATAAATTACACACTTTGATGTGACAAGTCAGATATGTTGTAGTTGACAATATAATGGTAACATTTTTCTTTTCGCGATCAAAATGGCAAACACCGCAGGAAGTCCAACAAGGACAATGAAAAATGCTACCCTTATGGTTATTATTACTTTAGATATGTGCATCAAAATATCATAATAAATAACACAATAATAGGATACATAATCCATGTTAAAATAACTGCATAAGATTAAAATCATCAAATAGAACTTCTTTGACGTTGTATTATCAAATCGTTTTAAATTGAATGACTGGGACATTGAGACAACTAATGGCGCTATTTCCAGTTTAATTAACGGCATGGTAATCCTTAGTTCATATGAATAAACTCGTATTCTAGCCAAGGCCTACATCGAGTTTATACGGCGAGTGCATTTTCTTTGATGCACCTTTCCGCAAGAAATTGAGCGGAACAGTTTTAGGCGGAAAAACAAGAATGAAAACTCAACCCATCGACTGATGCATGTGCATGTATTACTAAAACAAACAATCGTCTTCAAAACAAGACACTTACCTCCACTAAAATCGACTCACTTTATTACTAAATGACCTGAAAACATAAAGACCCCCCACCAACTTTCCACCATTTGTCGACCATTTTGGTTATGGTAATTAGCAGTTGTATCAAAAAAAAGGAATCGTATTAAACGGACCGTGATTACATGACGCTCTGAAATCGGAGGAAGGAGGACGAACTTTTAGCAGTTTCTATTTGTTCCTAACTACGTTTTAATGCGTTTCCACTTTTTATTGAACTGCTAATTACCATAACAGTATGGCCGACAAATGGTGGAAAGTAGGTGGGGTCTCTGTGCTTCAGGTCATTTAAGTAATAAAATGAGTCATATTTAAAGGAGGTAAGAGTTTCGTTTTGAAGATAAATGAAAGTTTTATCAATCCATGCACATGTATTAGTAGATAGGTTGAGTTTCCACCCTCGTTTATGCCTAAATCCGTTGTGCCTCTCTACCTAGAGAAGTGCGTCAAAGAACTTGAGTTCGCCGGCTAGACGTCAAGCACACCTTGGTATAGAGCAAAGTCGTCTAGTTATATGCTGGACTAGGTAATCCTTAGCTCTACATATAAAAAAAATGTCTAATATACCAGGAAATAAAATTGAAATGGTATATTATCATGTCTATTGTTAAACAGCACCTCAGCAACATTCTAGCTGTATGAGAGATATAATGACATGCATCAACCAAATCCACCTGACCCCATTGTTGCTTCTTACAACAAGCATGGATTGCGAAAGACCAATCCTAACCTGGATCTTCAATGATTACCATGTCTGTCAATGTTTAATTGCAAGGGGTCCAAGGACCACCAACTCCTGCTTTGAGTCAGTTAAAATTTTACTTCTTATTCATAGTAAGAATTTTCTGACCTCAACACAAACATGTGATACTGCACAAAAAGAGTGCCTTGAGATTGCCTCATTTAATTCATAATCATGATAATGAATTCTGCCCTTACTTTCACCTATCCATATAATACATAAGCTTTAATGATTGTCAACACGTCCTTATCAATGCTTATTGATACGGACCGACCAGAACCAACTTGCACATTTGAGAGTAACCCATTTAATAAACGTAAACATGGTAAAGTTACCATTAGAAATACTTATCAATCGGTTGTCACGTGAAGGCGGTGGGAGAAAATGCAATGTTCCTTTACTCCTGATGAAATGTGCATTAAATATAAGATTGATCGGGCAATAAATATCTATGTGTACTGGATTTCGATGGCCATAAGTTTAAAAACATAAGATTGGAGTATAAAGAGCAATGCGTTCGGAATATAACTTCCAATAGGACAAAATCGTGTTGTCAAAACACACCGAGATAAAATGTCGGCACACGATTCTGTCAGTGGAATGCCGATACAATACTAGGGAATCATTCTGCACCCCGAGTGCTGAGAATGCAAAATACTTTTTCTATAAACGTTAAAAACAACGTTTCTGTATACCTGAACATCTTCGTTTCTTAATTCATCGATTAAAACTGCAATTGGATAGAGAGAATCATCTCCAGACTCGCTCGCCGCCATGTTGGATTTTGAATATGTGGGATTTCCGCATTAACATAAAGGACAAATTCTAAAGATTGGAGAAATATCAGCCAGTATCACTGTTTTATGTCAATGTGACAAAAAGCATGAGAAACGGTATCACATACATAATTTTTACGTTAAAACTAGTGACACATGTTTGCCTTGATCGAGGCTATTCAGATGACGTAATGCATCCCGATTGTTTCCGGAAATAAACGAACATCCACGACAGCAGAAGTTATCGTAATATACATTACTCAGATATCTACGTCGTTGCTATCTGTTATCAACGATGAACCTGTCATGTGTACATTTTGACTCATGGCGATAAAGTTTGTGTTTGATTTGTAAGGTACTATATTTAAGCACTCAGTCATTTTGATTAGGGGTTGACCTAGTAGTTAGAGTGAGTATGGTTTCAGGGGCGGATACAGCTTTTTGAGAAAGGGGGGGGGTGCACACTATTGAGAAAAGGAGGGGTGCACATTTCATTTTCACAAGAGTTTCAATGGTCATTTAACAAACTTTCAGCACCAAAGGGGGGGGGGGGGGACCCTGCACACACACACCCCACCACCCCCTCTGGATCCGCCTATGGGTTTTAAGCGGCTTTTAGCAATGTTAAGATAAGAAATGCTTTGACACGGTTCAACTTTATAAGTTGAATTTGCGTTTTTTGATGATTTGTATCTGTAAGTCCATACCGAAAGGTATCAGAATCTGAAAATTTGTGTTTTACGTTGCATGTGACCTTTAACATTGAAAGACCGCCTCCGTGGTATAGTGGTTAGAGCGTCCGCCCTGAGAGCGGAAGGTCGCGGGTTCGATCCCCGGCCGCGTCATACGACATTAAAATATGGTACTTGTTGGTCCCTGCCTGGCGCTCAGCATTAATGGGTACAACAAGGACTGGTCGGCTCGGAGTCAGTATACTGTGTCTGAGTGGGGTATCCATGCTTCACTGCGGCATGGTATCTCAGTGGGCTAGCACTATAAAACCAGCTTCAGTCTGGGCTAGTACAAGCAGCCGCACATACACATACACACGCATGCACTTCGTCATATGAGCGAAATATTCTCAAGCACGACGTTAAACACAATTTCACCTCACCTTTAATATTGAAAACACATACGATGCAACAAAAGATACTCACACACATAAGACCACAAAAAACACCCATACATAGGTTAAATATTGCTAAAATAGCTGCAACAACGCCCAGTATATGAGGTAAAGATAAATGATGAATAAATTATAATATAGATTTAGAGCTGTAGTGGCGACATTAAAATTATGCTGATGAACATTAGGGACCGTTCATAATTTATGGCTAGGGGGGTGATGATGATTTTAAGGGGGGGTCATCAATTTTGTACACACGTACTAGGGGGGTTCAGCTATTTTTTACATAAAATTATGTTTAAAATTATGCTTAGAAATTATGGAAAGGGGAGGGGGGGGTCATTGATTTTGTACATGACATGCAGTGGGGGCACTTATTTTGTACATATATTTTACTTTTTACTTGTACTTGCTTCTCCGTAAAAAATTTATACAGTGAAACATTGTGAAAAACTATTGATACAGTCATTTGTCTGACTGACTGAATTTAGTTTTACGCCGCTTTTAGCAGTATTCCAGCAATATCACGGCGGGGGACACCAGAAATGGGCTTAACACATTGTGCCCATGTGGGGAATCGAACCCGGGTCTTCGGCGTGACGAGCCAACGCTTTAACCACTAGGCTACCCCACCGCCCCCAGTCATTTGTATATGAAATAAATAAAACCGGGGAAAGAACACAACCGTGCAGGGCACCAGTGGATATGAATGTTGTTGCTGATTGGGTGTTATAAAAAAATCCTATCCATTTTATAACACATGGGTTGTCCGACGTATTACAGAGCTTTTGCATCAACATGCGAGGCTGGATGGTATTAAGTGAGTGAGTTTAGTTTCACGCCGCACTCAGAATATTCCAGCTATATGGCTGCGGTCTGTAAATAATCGAGTCTGGACGAGACAATCCAGTGATCAACCTGGATGGTATTAAAAGCTGAAGGAAAATCAACAAACCGAATTCGTACATAAGAATGTGAAAGTTCTAAATGTTTATAAACAGTTTAATAAAGTGATGGTAGCGTCCTCGACACTTCGCCCAGCCCTGAAGGTAAACTGAAGAAGGACGAGAAGGTGCCCTGTTTCTTGCAGCAGCAAACGCTTTACAATTTTTTCCAAACACTTCACAGGAATAGGCGGCGAAGTAGCCTGGTGGTAAATCGTTCGCTCGTCACACTGAAGACCCGGGGCCCGGGTTCGATTCCCCACACGGGTACAATGTGTAAAACCCATTTCTGGTGTCCCCCGCCGTGGTAATGATGCAACATTGCTAAAAGCGGCGTAAAATCATACTCGTTCACTGATTACTTGATCTGACGTTACCTATTGTTATATGACGTCATTACATTAAAAATGACGTCATTCAATTTGTTCTAACAGTCATTTAACCGACAGATAAACAATCAGTATCTCCATCGCCTCTCTGGAGCCAGATGAGGCCGATACCACTTGGATGCAAAGGTTTGGAAACATCTCCGGGAGATGACTGGTAAATATGTACACATATCATAGTTGTTAAAATATGAATGAGTAAATTCAGTGAAATGAGCGGATCATTTTTTCTTTCTCTCTTTGTGTTTTTCTTTTGTTTTGTGTTTTTCTTTTTGTTTTGTTTTTAGTAAAATGTTTGTTGGGTTGGGTTTTTTTTAGTAAAAACGTTTTTTTTTGGTTTTGTTTTTTTGTTGTTGTTGTTTGTGTGTGTGTGGGTGTGTGGGTTGCTGAAAAGTACTAGATCATTTATAGTAATATAATATGACGGTTTGAGACAACTGATTCACTGTTGAAACATAATACAAGAATAGCGTGAATTACTTTTACTGGACAGGTTATCTTCATAAAATGATTTGATGGCGTAGAGACATTATGTGCCGCAATTTCATATCATAACAATTTCCCGATGGGTGACACTTGGTCTTCAGTAACCCATGCTTGTCGTAAGAGGCGAATAACGGGATCGAGTGCTCAGGCTCGCTGACTTGGTTGACACATGTCATCGTATCCCAAGTGCGTTGATCGATGCTTATGTTGTTGATCACTGGATTGTCTGGTCCAGACTCGATTATTTACAGACCGCCGCCACCAATATCTTGTCTTTTTTCGACTTCAAAGTGAAGGTTAAAGAGGGGGAGCGTGTATGCCCCCTGCCATCCAGACCTGTGAAAACCTATTAGTTTTCAGTAACCCATGCTTATCGTAAGAGGCGACTAACTGGATCGGGTGGTCAGGCTCTAAGGCTTGGTTGACACATGTCATCGTATCCCAATTGACGCTCATGTTGTTGATCACTGGATTGCCTGGTCCAGACTCGATTATTTACAGACCGCCGTCAGATAGCTGTAATATTGCTGCAAGGGGCGTTAAACACCAACCAACCAACCCTGTCATCAAGGGGGTGTTAATACCACAACTACTTTCCGAACAATGTACATGTATTATGAAATTGTTGTCCGATTCAGGAACTTGTATTTTTGTTTCAAGCGGGCAGCGCGGATCGTTCTAAATGTATCAACACCAATTTGTGTTTTACTAGTATATCTTTTATTTGCCTTCAACAGTGTTATATTTTAGCGATCCATATTCATCAGTTCTCCGAAGACCCGTCATGGTCAGATAATATCTGGCGACAATTTCAGATGCCCTGTTGAGGAATATTGTTGGAAGCGGCGTAAAATCCCATTCACTTTTCAGGTAAGTGTAAACACACGACAGTGAATGGAGATATGATTTGAGTGAGTGAGTATGGTTTTACTCCGCTTTTAGCAATATTCCAGAAATATCACGGCGGGAGATACCAGAAATGGGTTGTACCCATGCGGCGAATCGAACCCAAGTTTTCGGCTTAAACAGCGAACGCTTTAAACACAATACAACAATTTGAAAAGTTGTAGCTAGTTGTGTCTTTCCACTGTAACTCATATCATTTCGGCCAGGTCACAATCAGGGATCATATATTTTAGATACGAATGTTACAAGGTCCTACATGGATACTAAAAGCGGACAAGAAGATCACATTTATTTTTCATTTAGCCGGCCATTCTTCTCAAAGAAAGGTTTTTTTCGTTATATTTCCTAGGATTTTCCATTCATTTTTGTGGAGCTCATGTGTCCATAGGCGGATCCAGAGGGGGGTGAGCGCGCGCACGCACGCACGCACGCACACACACACACCTTTCTCAAAAAGCTGTATCCGTCCCTGTAAAGTGTCAGTATTGCTGTTCTTTTGGGTTTTTTCCAACATTTGGAATAGCTAGCTAATTCGCAAAATATGTCATGATTGTTAGGTGTAGTCTTGATAATGGATGTTGGTGAGTGTCAGATATTTCTAAATTTTTTATCTGTGTCAGTAGCCATGTGGCTGTTCAAGAAACGCAAAAGCGTCAGTGTAATGTACAGGGTGTCCAAAGCAACTATCTCAGGGTGGAGTTGTTTGAACTACCTCGTATCAACAGCTGTGACATTGGAAAACTGTCCGTAGACCTGTAATCTCCCCCTATGTTGATATCTGGTATGTTAACTGAATAGTTCAGTTAGTAACTTTATCCGATGGTATGTTTCATTTTGTATGTGTAACTACACTAATCTGAAATACCGTTACAGGTCCAATACAGTGACTTTTGCTTCTAATCCCTGTTACGGGGTGATGGTTTATTATAGTTGTTCTAAACTTTTGCTTTTTCTACACATTTATTTGTAGACAGTTTATTTAAATTTAGGAAATATTCAAAAGTTCATTGACCATATAAAATGACAACATCAGATTAAAAAATAACTAATTGTGCTATTTACTGTAAACAACATGGGGCTATGGACACTTAATTATTTCACGATGTACCCGGGGGTTTTATGCCTACTCTGGGTGACAACATGGGGCTATGGACATCGAGAATACTACACGATGTCCCTTAGGGTTT